ACCTGGAGGGAGGTGGCTCTTCCAGGCCAGCCTCAGCCCCATGCTGTTATTTCCTTTTCCAGGAGCCCCTGCTCTGAGCTGCTTCTGTGGCGCTACCCTGGGAACCTGATCCCTGAGGCCCTCCGGCTGCTGAGGCTAGGGGACACCCCCACCCCCCACTACTCTGCAACCCAAGCTGGGGAGATAATGGAGCTCTGAGTGCTGGTGGGCAGTATTTCTGCCCACTTTCCTTCTTCCCCACAACAGAGAAGACCAGCATCCCCACTGAGGGACTAGCTGTCCTGAATATTGTCCAGACCAGGCCCCTGGGCCCCAGGACAGACCCTCAACAGAGTAGGACACTGAATCCCACAGAGCCCTGGAGTGGGAGGGGCCGGAGGGACAGGAGCATGGGAAGGGAGGCATTCCCCCTAAAACTGAATAAAGATTGCTGAGCAAATGAAGGCTTCCGTCTGGAACCCTGGGACCTTTTGGGAAGGAAGGTGGGAAGGCTGGGACACTGGATGCTTGGGGTTTCTCAAAATCTTCCCTGGAAAAAACGGTGAGGGCCTGACCAGGTCCTGGCAGGCTGGGCTCAGGCATTGAGAATGTGTGAGTCAGAGCCTCACCCCCCGCCCCCGCGGCTGACTCACTCCTCCCTCCAGCTCTGGGAAGTTGGGCTGGGGATCATGCCACTCTCCAAACCATTTAAAGTTAAAGATTCTTTTATTAATAAATTTTCCCTCCCTTCCAAACTCTCTCCCCAAAATAAATATTTCCCCCCCTTTGGGGGTGGGGGGAACAGTGTCTTAGGGCCAGCCCCCCTAGAGGGCCAGCCCCCTAGTGTTAGCAACAGGTCCCTAACCCCCCAGACAGAGACCCCATGGTGGAATTTCAGAACGTCCGAGTGGGTGGGGCCTGATGATGTCTGGCCCTCCGGCCCTTGGGCCATGGGGGCGGAGGGAGGGACCCTTTGTGCAAATGCTGCGGTTCCTTAGTGTCAGCTGTCTGGTGTGAGCCAGCGTGGGTCTCCTTTCCTGTTCTGGAGCCAGAGACAGGGCAGTCAGACACCTTGGAAGGCTCCTCTGAAGCCTGGGTCCAGGCCTCGGAGAGCTGATTCACCAGTCCCCCATCCCTCCACACCCCTGTTGTTGGAAGAGTGGCTCTGGCTGTGTCTGGAGTGAGGGGGCTGGCTCCAAAATGAATGAATGAATGAATGATGAGTGGGTGGGGCCTCCTGCTGGCAAGGGCTCTCACTGTCACTGGATCAGTGCCACACCAGGACAGCCCTCCCCGCCGGTCTCCTCAATGGGGGCTGCAAGATAAGAAGAGGGGTGGTCAGGAGCAGGGAGATGGTGAGGAATAACGGGGCGTGGGGGAGGGGGACGGGACGGGAGGGGCTGGCTCACTTACTAGTAAACTTCTCTCTCCTGCGGCACCGTCTCCAGACCAAGAAGCCAGAAAGCAGTCCCAGCACGAGGGCTAGGCTCAGAGCACCCCCCAAGATGGGCCACAGCATTGGGAAGGAGGCTGGAGGGGCTGCAGCGCCTGGGGGCGGGATTCCAAGTTAGGCCTCGCCCCTCTCGGTACTAGCCCCGCCCCCTAAATCCCCCTATATCCCACCTGAGAGAAAGCCCCACGCCTTTTCTCCACCTTGGCCCCTGCCCTAATCCTATCCCTTCCCACCCAACCTCCAACCCCCACTCCTGATTAATTCCCCAGATCTGAAGCCCACTGCGCCCCTCTCCACCCCCGCAACTCTTCTATTCTGGTCCATTCGCCCCTGGTCCCTCCCCCCCACTCACAGCCCAGGCAGAAGTCGCTGTGTGGTCGCGCCGGGCAAGACGCGCAGTCCATGCACTTGTCGAGGTCCGCGCTCCAGGAGCTGCCGCGAGAGCAGGGGGTGGTGCCTGGGGAAGGGGCCGCCGGTCAGAGGCTGGGGCGGGGCACGGCTATTCTGGGGGCTGAGGTCAGGGTCGGCCGGCTCGAATAACGTGAGTCACCGGCGCCCTCCCCCCCGCATTCCTCACAGGTGACCGCACGGCCCGGCCGGGGCTCAGCAGCGTGAGGGAAAGGGGGGCCTAGCGCGGGACGCTGGGGGGGGGGTATCAGGTCCCCACCGCACCCCCCCGCAGCCGGCGGGTGACTCACTCCTGGGCACCGGGCCCGACCCCAGTCCCTCCCCCCGCATAGCTGGGCACTGAAGTCACCGGATGGAAGGGGGCACCCCACATGGTATAGGGGGTACCGACCCCCGTGTCCTCGATACCACCCCCCCCGAGACTCTTCGGTCAATGGGGCCAGACAGACCAGGTACTTAACAGGATAAGGGCGTGCCTTCTCACCGAACGAGACATCCCGCCCTCAAACTTTCTTTTTCCCTCCACTTCCGAGTCTGGACTTATTAGGACAGAAGCCGTCCCCCCATTTGAAATGGGGGAAACTGAGGCCGAGACTGCGGATGAAGTTCGGAGCCGGATGAACCTCTCCCGGCCAGGGAGTGCGGTGTCTGGAGACCACCTAACCCCGAATCCCCGTGTCCGCCTACTTCCCCCCCAGTTGGGCCCCGTTCTCTGGGTCCCCAATGCCGGCTCTCCGATCCCCGGCGAGAGGCTCCCAGGGTCCCCGCGACCTCCCGCCCAGCCGGCGCCCGGCGTACCTGGCACTCGCTCCCCGCCCGCCGCGCCCAGCAGCGCCAGTCCGAGCCCCAGCACGAGGAGCCGCGGCAGCGGACGCAGCGGACCGGGAACCATGGTGCGCGTCCGGCGGCCGCGGCCGTCTGAGCCCGCCGCGCGCGGGCCGGGGCGGACAGCAGCGGCCCCGCCTCCGCCCCCGCCTTCCGGGGCGGTGCCCTCGGCTCGGCCCGCCCAGCGACTGGCTCCTGGACGCCCCGCCCTGCCTGGTCCGCTCAATTCAGTTATTAGCTCAAAAAGCACCAACTCGGTGCGCCTGCGGCGGGGACCCCGCAAGGACGCAGACCTTGCCCTGTGCTGTGGATGCCGAAGTCCAGGAAATTGGGGGTGACAATCAGACACGAACAACGCATCTCAAAGATAACTGCAGCTTTCTTAAGGACCCCGGAGTATAATGATAACGACATAACAAATAATAATAATAATAATAATAATAATAATGTATTTAATTTCTACCTTGGAGCATAGCTACACAGTTAAATCTGCGCTTGTTGTCTCCAATTTTTCCGAGTGTGAAACTGAACCTTGGGAAGGTTGGGTGAGTTCCCAGGGTCCCAGGCCTAGTAAGTCGCGGAGTCAAGAGCCAAGCTGGGGCTTCATGCCCTATGCCCTGACCCACTGGGGGCCGGCGTTAGCCAGCTGAGGTCCCACCCCCCGGGCCACACGCCGGAGCAGCGGCCCCAGGCTCGAGCGACCCCAGCTGACGAGGTTGGGATTCGCGCGCCGCAGTCTGGAATGGGGTCTTTGCCCCTCCCCGGGGCGGTGGTCCAGTGACGTCACTGCCTCTTTAAGACCCCCACCTCCGCCCCCATGCGCACATTCTGCGGCTCCTACGAATCCTTGTGGGCTTCTTCGCAGGTGAGCCTGGGGGAAGTGCCAGAGTTGGAGGGGAAAAGGCGGACTCCTCAAGGAGTGGGGTGCAGGGGGTATGTTGGTGTAGGTAGGGGTGCGTATAGAGAACCTGGACTTATCTGGGGGGACACCGCCCCTGGGCGGGCGTCTGCGCCGAAGCCGCGGAGCTGGTCAGGTTCTTTTGCAGCCACCGAAGGGTTAAACGCCCCTCCCCCTCCCCCGGGACAAAGGCACAGAAACCCGGGCGCCCCTCCCCCACCTGCGCTGCTCTCTGGGGCGGGGCCCCCCTCCCCCTCACCTACCGGAGCCGACCCTGCTGATATTGACTCCATTAAGCCCTTCCCGCAGCACCGCTCCCAAGCTGCGGTCCCTTCTTCGGGCCGGACTCAGATCGAAAGCAGGAGGGGGCGCCCTTGCACTAAGCAGACCACGTAGTGTGCGGAAAGAGAAGGGGTCGAGGACAGGGGTAGGGTCTTGGAAGGGGATAGGAGCTGGGTGCCTGGACGGGCGCTAAGCCGGCCAGAGGCGTGGAGGGCCAACGCTGGGGTTGGGATGAGCACGGCATGGGCCGCCCCGTCCGATCTCCTCCGAGGTCATTAGCTCCGTCAGGTATGGGCGGGATGCAAATGAGTGCAGTCTGTCCTCTGACCACGCGGCTGGGGCCGGTGATAACTTAAGGTCCAAATCCTGTGTGGAAACTTTGGGCAACGAAAACCGCAACAGGACCTCGAGCAGAACTGACCCCTGAAGCCAACCACAACAGAGTGGGGTGCGTGGGGAGACAAGTGAGGGGGGCGGTTCGCTGGACACACTCCAAGAGTTTAGGTCCTTTTAGAGGAATTGAATCCTGAGAGGATGGCATTTGGGGCAGGAAGGCACAAGAAAATGTCCCCAGCCTTGGAAGTATCCTCAGTGTGACCCTAAGGGAGGGAAGAAGAGCAGGACCCAGGGGGGGCAGAGGGGAGCCGTTGGGAAGAGCTTTTGGGCAAGAGGGTGGAATTTTCTTTCTTCTTCACTTCTCCGGCCCCCTCTGGAGTTTGACTGAGGCTGGGCCAGGGCAAGTAGGGCCTGGCTAGGCCAGGGATGACAGATCACCTGAGAAACAAAGGTCACCACCCGCCTGGGGGTATGGAACCAGGTTGGGGTGAGGGGTTTGGACACTGCTATTGGGTGGTGGGGAGGAAGCTTGGATCTCCAATCTTGATGTTGAAACTGACAGGTTTTGAGCCTGAAACTCCTGGCTAGAGCCAACCCACCATCTGTGTGTCCCAAGGAGGGCACCTGGAAACTGCCCTCTTTGGGGGGATTCCTGCCCTTTTGGCTACTTTGCTGTCTGATAACACTGCCCTGTGTGGGATGCCACAGCCTGTGGCGTGACAGTTGGCCCTCATCAGTAACAGAGGATCTGGACCAGCCTGTCTTCATATCAGTATGCTTCTGTCCCCCAGGGCGGCTCCTCTCAGCCTCAACTTGGCCATGGCTTCCGCTGGTCTGCAAATCCTGGGGATTGTCCTGACACTGCTTGGCTGGGTAAATGCTCTGGTGTCGTGTGCCCTGCCCCTGTGGAAGGTGACCGCCTTCATCGGCAACAGCATCGTGGTGGCCCAGGTGGTGTGGGAGGGGCTGTGGATGTCCTGCGTGGTGCAGAGCACCGGCCAGATGCAGTGCAAGGTCTACGACTCCCTGCTGGCGCTGCCCCAGGACCTGCAGGCCGCCCGCGCCCTCTGCGTCGTCGCCCTCCTTGTGGCTCTGCTCGGGCTGCTGGTCTACCTCGCGGGAGCCAAGTGTACCACCTGCGTGGAGGACAAGGACTCCAAGGCCCGTCTGGTGCTAGTCTCTGGGATCATCTTTGTCATCTCAGGGGTCCTGATCCTGATCCCCGTATGCTGGACGGCTCACGCCATCATCCGGGACTTCTACAACCCCCTGGTGTCAGACGCCCAAAAGCGGGAGCTGGGGGCCTCTCTCTACTTGGGCTGGGCAGCCTCCGGCCTTTTGTTGCTAGGCGGGGGGCTGCTGTGCTGCACCTGTCCCTCTGGGGGGTCCCGGGGCCCAAACCATTATATGGCCCGCTACTCGGCATCAGCTGCACACGCCACCTCTCAGGGTGCCCCTGAGTACCCCACTAAGAATTACGTCTAATTCTGGTAGGGGAGTGGAGGCTCCCTCAGCAACCTGCTGGGCTGGAGACACAAGGACGGTGCCGCAGACAGCTTGGGGATTGTTTTGATCTTTTTCACTTTTGTGGGGAGGGGTATTTTTAAAATTCACTTGATAACCTAACCAAGGAACCCAGGTCTCTCCTGGGCTCTGCTGTTGGTATTTCTTGCCTTTGGATGATGGCACCAAGGAGGAGATGCTTTGGTTTCTGGATCTTTCTCCACCCTAGGCATCCCCTTCTTGGAAGCCAGCTGGAGCTGTGGGCCAGCATAGCCGTCCGGGGGCTCTCAGCCTGTCCTGGAGTCCCTCCTCACTGGTCCGGCCTCTGGAACCCCTGGGGGCTCTCAAGCCTCACGGACACCAAAGAACTGCCCACCTCCCAGGTCTCAAGTCCCGTCCCAGCTGTGCTCCAGATGACCCACCCCCCCGCCACCCCGATCCTCTCACCTTCAGCCCTGCACACTTCTGCCACGCCGCCCTGCCAACACACTCACCAGTTTTTGCTAAATAAAGCGTGTCTTATTTTGTTCTTTGCCTTGGGTGCTGCTGGGGGACTGCTGGGTGCCAACCCAGCAGGGGAGGAAGAGAACACAAGGGGCTCATCTTAACCTTGTGCCTCTTGTGCCTCACAGGGGAAGGGAGGGTCTCCACTGCACAAGCCGTAGGCTGACAGCCCCCTGGAAGGCCACCTGGTCTTCCCCACCCAACCACAGACCAGAAGAGCCAAGGTGCAAATTCTCTTGTTTATTCCCCCACTGGCAGGTGGGCATAGAGGGTGGGGTGATTGGCTGAGGCTCCTGGCCTGGACCTCTGGATTCAGGTGGTGGCCAGGCTGGGGAGGACCCACCCCAGGCAGGGATCCCCTCCTTATTTTGGAGCCAAGGACCTTCTGCCCTTTGGGTGAAGCCCAAATTCCTAGGCCAGGGGTAGCCTCAGAGGAAGAGGAGGGCCAGCCTAAGCTGTGGACCAAAGAAGTGAGCAGTTCATCCAGGGGGAGTGGAGCGGGGGGCTGGGGGGGCAGGCGGGCACACCCCATCAGCTCTGGCTCTGCCTGGAGGGCGAGGTAGGAGAAGGACCTGTAGGGACCCCACTCCATAGCCAGCCCTGATTGGAGCTTCTGGGAAAGGGGTTTTGCCTCGGGTGGTGTTGGCAGTGGGGGCAAGGTCAAGGCTCTGAGCTGCGGGTTTCCAGGGACACTTTCCACGTCATACATAGTCCCTCTTGTCCAGTCCAGATGCCCCTGAGCGGGAGGGGATGGAGTAACCCAGCCTTGGTCCTCTTGGCCGCTCGATCTGGGGTGGAGGGCACGTGCAGCAGAGGAGGCCCCCCCCAAGCATGAGCAGGGCAGCAGCGGCCCAGCCCAGGTAGAGGGAGGCCCCCAGCTCCCGCTTGAGGGCCTCGGCCACCAGGGGGTTGTAGAAGTCCTGGATGACGGCGTGTGCTGTCCAGCAGACAGGGATGAGCACCAGGATGCCAGAGAGGAGGAGGAGGACCCCCGCCGTGAGCACGATGCGGGCCTTGGCGCCTTCGTCCTCCACGCACGTGGTGCATTGGGCCCCTGTGATGGCCACCAGCAGCCCAAGCAGGGCCAACAGGAGGGCAACGACGCAGAGGGCGCGGGCGGCCTGCAGGTCCTGGGGCAGCGCCAACAGGGAGTCGTAGACCTTGCACTGCATCTGGCCGGTGCTCTGCACCACGCAGGACATCCACAGCCCCTCCCATACCACCTGGGCCACCACGATGCTGTTGCCGATGAAGGCGGTCACCTTCCACAGGGGCAAGGCACACGACACCAGAGTGCCCAGCCAGCCCAGCACGGCCAGGGTCATACCCAGGAGTTCAAGGCCAGTTGAAGCCATCTTGTCCACTCAGGTCTTCTTAACCCTAGACGGCCTGGTTGACTCCCAGGAGTGGATCCGTTGCCACTGGGTGGGGGTCTCAGTGCCCAGGACGTGGGGAAGTCAGTGGCCTTGGCCAGGACCGTCCCTCACATCCGTGGGCCTCTTGCAAAGCACCTCTGTTTGACCCGGACTCGCACAGATCAGTCTCACAGCCCTCAGCTGAGTAGCGGCGTTCTCTCGAGGGTCCTGTTGGCCGCTGCCCCCGTGACCCAGCTTGCAAAGACCCTCCGGACCCACCTGCAGGCTGAGCAGAGCCTTGTCCCGCCGGAGGCGCCGCAGCGCACTGTCTGTGGGTGTCACCTGGGGACTCAGCCGGCTCCCAGGTGCAGGCGGGGTTTTGAGGTGGAGGCAGGGGAGGGGCAGCGGAGCCGAGACTGGGGAAAGCGGGAGCTACAGGCAGCGGGCAGAGCAAGGGGTGGGATGGGGAGCCTAGGAGGGGGTACTGCGACCGGAATGGGGAAGGAAAGAACCTCCGTGCCTGTGGGAATGCAGGGACAAGGGAAAGGACAGACAGGCCAGCTGGGGAGCAAGAAGTAGGGCGGGGGATGGAGGTCCGGCAGGCTCAGCAAACAGAAGTAGAGGTTCACGCCGCCGCCCCCTCCCCCAGCAACTCCTCCCTGTAGGCGTTTCATTCCGTGTTGCCTACACACCCGGATCCCCCAGTATCGCACACCCCCAACTCCGCTCTTGTCCCCCTGCCCGCCCCAGGAACCCGATCTGTCTTCAGTCTCAGCCCAGTGGCCCCGGCTGCTCTCAAGGGAGGGGCCCTGCCCGCACTGTTCCCTAGGCGACAGGTGCCTGGAGCCCAGCTCAGGTAGCATCACCCAGGCAACGGCCTAGAAACACCCCCCCCCAGCTCAGGTGTGCCGTCTCCACCCCCACACTGAAACTGAGGGCCCAGCTGAGCTGCCACAGGTCTCTAGGGGCCAAGGGATAAAGAATTTCTTGTGAAAGCAGGGGAGGGGCACACATGGGTCTGTGGGTGAAGGGGGAAGAGTAACAGAGACAGAAGCCCCAGCTGGGGGTGAGGCCCCAGGACCCAAGGCTTTGCCATGAGGAGTAAATGATCACTCTGGAGGAGTCCAAGAAGGTGACCCCAGGTGAACCCTGCCTCACTGTCCCCAGGAAAGACCCTCCCACTCCTGAGACCCCATCGGAGCCTGTGACTCCTCTTGTGGGGGGCAACCTGGGACTCACAGACTATAATTCAAATCCTGCCACCAACCAGGGACCGATCATGGAAGGTCAAGGTCCTTAGCCTTCTTAGGTCAAATACCCCTGTGAGAAACCTTACATGACCCACAAACATGGGCCCCTCGTATGAGAGGTCATGAACTCCCTCAAGCCCCTTCCTGGGTGCTAGGAACTGAGGGAAAAAGAACGGGGGTGGGAGACGCTGATGAAAATTCCTTCCTTTCATACATTTTCCTGGGTGGCAGGCGGACCCTTTAAGGCAGAGCTGGGGCCCCATTTGGAAGAGCCTCTCACTTCCATACCTCCTCTTGAGAAGGGAGGGCCCACGGCCTGTCTGCTCTATGAGGGGGCACCCCTTGTTGGCCTGGGAAATAACAGGGCCACTGGGGCCCCCAACATGGGCTCTGAAGGCACCGCCCTAGGGCCCTGGGTGTGGTGTGCACTGGGTGCCTCTCTACCCGTTCAGTGCGTGCACTGCTTCTGGGAATGCGGTTTTAGCACTTTGGGGAAGAGAGGTTTATACTTTCATCAGATTTGCAACAAGGTCATCGACCAAAAAAAGCTCGAGAGAACTGCTGAAAGGGAGACTGAGGCCAGCACCCAAGAGCAGGGCTGTGGGGTAGACTGCGGTGGCCCGGCAGACACAGCGGGAGTGGAAAGGGGCCAGAGGGGCTGTGACTGGGCCTGCAGGCCGTGGTGATCCTGGGGAATCATGTTTGCCCAACTCATCCATCGCCTGGGGCCCTGGATTTCACGCTGGGGAGGGGCGGCTGAGGAGAAGGGCAAACAGAGGCAAGCCTGGGGGTCTGGAGGAATCCGGACACACAGGTTGAAGCAGTTGTTGAGGCGAACCTGAAGCTGAGGTCTGCGAGGGCCCCAGTAACCCTCCCTCAGGGCCTCCCATCCTGGGCAGCCCAGCCCGGGGTCTCTGCTCTCTAGGCTCAGAGAAAGCCTTGAGTTTCGTGAGATCAACTCACCCTGACGAGCCCAGGTCGCCCATGAGCCTGCAGTCAGGCCTTGGCGCCAAGGACCCTCCGTTCCACCGGCAGCTCTAAACCCCCAGCATTGTGCCGGGCCCCGTGCGCGCTGCACCCACACATCCTGGCTAAGCGTCCTGCCCCCGGGCGCAGCACCCAGGACCCTCTGTTCTAGATCCAAATTCCTCTGGGCTCAACAGGTCAACAGTCCAGCAGAGAAGATGTGCACACTACCAGGGGTGGGCTGGCCACATGGGAGGGGGTGCTCAGAGGCTGAAGACACAGACCCCCCAGCCAAGGCTTTCGGGGAGGGTGAACGTGGGACAGGCTGTGGGAGAACAAAGAGAGGTCAGCTGGGCTGGTCAGAGGAACCGCGAGCAGGAGGGCTAGGTGGCCGAGGGTGGATTCCCAGGGCGCCCAGGCTGGACAGGCTTCCCACCCTCAGCCCTCCTTAGGCCGTCTCTTGGGTCCCGGGGCCACCTGGACTGCGTGGGATCCGGGAACCAAAGGGTTAAAGTTGGGGCCCAGCAGGGACTGTCAGTGGGGCTGGAATGCCATTGATATGGAGGTGAGGACTCCCTCTGCGCGGTTACCACCTCCAAGTCCGCTGGACTCCCCACCCCCACCCCCACCGCTTCCGCCCCGAAAGAGATGGGGGAGGGAAACCTGCCCCAACACACGACTGTGGAGGGAAACTGAGGCACGGGGGAAGGGAGGGCGGCCTCACTCCACTCACTGCTTTGGGGAGTAGCACAACTGGACCAGATCTTTGTTCTGTGGGAGGACAGTGGGGTGGGGCCACTCAGGTGGGCGGAAGCAGCCGGCGCTGGGCTTAGGCAGGGGAAGGGCGGAAGCGGGTTAACTCCAATCCCAACAGCTAGCACGCTTTTAGAGAAAAGTGTGGCCCAAAGACAAAGGAGGGGAACTGAAGGTCCAAAAGCCACCATGGTGCCAAGAAGAGTATGGGGGTGGGCTGGGGGACTGCACAACCCCAAGGGAACACCAGCCTCCGCTTCAGGGAGGAGCCCAAAGCCCCAGATTTTATGGGTAGAAAAGCCAGATTCCCCGGGCCCCTGAACCAAAAGGTGCAGATGAAGCCCTGGAGTCCCATGACAGCTCTCTACCCCCATTTTCCAGACAATGAAACAAGCTCAGAGCGCAATGGGAACTTGCCCACAGGTCCTTTGAGAAACAGGACAAGCCTGAAGCAGCCCCAGACCATGACCTCAAGGCCCTGAGCCCAGTGCTGGAGGGTGACCTGGGGCTCCCAGTGCCTCTTTGCTCACAACGGACCCCTGCCCCCCCCACATCCTGCCCCATTCCTCCCCAGCCAGTGTTCGCTCCTTCCCCTCGCTCCTCCAGGCACCCGGCAGTGCTCCAGAAAGCCTGTGCACGAGACTGCCTCTGGATCTGATCACACTGGGAGGACCCCCTCCCAGACCCCCCACCCCAACCCCGCCGCCCCTTCACTGGCTCTGCGTCCACCTGCTGTAGGCAGCCTCAGGGAGGATGGGTCAGACCTTGCTGGGTAAGTCACCAGTGCAGTAACCTCAGCTGCTTCCCTGCTGCAAAATGAGGGAAGGGAGAAGTAGGCCTTACCTACCCCCAGGGGCGCTACAAGAATCTGCCCAAGCAGGGAGCACCCTACGCACCTTGGGGGAGATCACTGTAGGGCCTGACTTGTCACGAGAGTCTTTTGATAACAGCATCATGGCCTTTTCACTCTGGCCAGACTCCGTAGATTCTGGCAACAGTTAACTTTATTATCTGCGGTAACTGAGGCTCTAACCGAGCACGGGCTTCCCCTCACTGAGGTTTCTCTGTGGCAGCAGTTACCCATCTGGGGTTCTGAGTGGGGGTCACCCTTCACCTCAAGGCTGTGAACTTTCAGAGCATGCCTTCAGTCTTGTCCTTCCTGCAGAGTGTGATTCTTAGCGGAGAGAGGAGAGCTGAGGGATGTCCGTGGAGGAAGCAAGCCAGCAGGAATGGGAACTCGGCCATAATTCAAGAAAGGGGAAAGGGAGTCATTAAGGTACTTAGTGGCTTGGGCTCCTGCTGAAGGACTGCAAGGGCACCCAGGGCTCCAGGTCAGCAAGAGACAAGGTGTCAAACACAGGGTTCGGGGAAGCTGGGAAGACAGCTCTGGAGGTGGGCCAGCCCCCCCTCCCCGGGGGGGAGAACACTGCTCGTATGGATTGCATGGCAGCCCTCACCACAGGCCAGGCCTTAAGCCCTGGTACCTGTGAGCATGGCCTTATTTGAAAACAGTCTTTGCAGCTATAATTAAGATAAATTAAAAACCTCAAGATGAGATCATTCTGGATTCAGGGTGGGCCCTACACCCAATGACGGGTGTCAAAAGAAAAAAAAAAAAAACAGGAAGATTTGAGACACAGACACAGGGTAAGGCAGGGTGAAGCTGGAGCCCGAGGCTGGAGGGACAAGGCTGCAAGCCAAGGAACGCCAGGGTCACCAAGAGCTCGGAGAGGCAAGAGAGGATCCTCCCCAAGAGCCTTGAGAGGAGGACAGCCCTAAATGCCTTGATTTTGGACTTCTGGTTTCCAGAACCTTGAAAGAACAGATTCTTTTTATTTTAAGTGGCCCAGTTTGTGGTGATTTGCTCCAGCAGTCCCAGGAAATTCATATACTGCATTTCTTGCTGGTGGATCCCCGGCTCTCAGAGGTCGCCCAAGGTCAAGTTGGCTTCCCGATACCACTCCGGACCTGTAGAAGACCCATTGAGATAGGACATCTGCCTGGTTACCTGAGACCAAGCCACCTGAGTAACAAAGGGAACTTTTATTTGGGGTTGTGCACTGCTGGGGAGAACCTGGCAGGGTAGGGATGAAGGAGAGGGCAAGCAAAGGTGGGGGGAGAATAGTAGCTTCCTTTCATGACTCACCTTGGGAGCGTTCCTGTCCCAGGTGGGGACGACCTGGTCCTTGCATGTGATGCTGCTGCTCCTGGGCCCAGTATCGGTTAGCCATCAGCACCACTGCTCTTCCGGGGTACCCAGGAAGAACCTTTGGATCTATTTCAGTTCACAGCCTGACTCCCGACTCGTAAGGCCATGGGCAGGTTTCCAGAAGTCATACACGCAGAGTAGGGCAGGGCCTTGTGATGGGACCCAAACCCTTCGTTTTAGAGAGGAAAATGAGACATTTTGCGGACCCGGTCAGGGCATTTCAAACTTGTTTTCATTTCCTCAAGCCAAGTGCGGTGGGCGCCCCCGCCCCCACAACCCCCGTCCCTGTCCAGAAGGCTCTGATAAGCCGCGCACTTATCAGCACTCGGGATGAGTTACGGTCTCAAATAACCAGGCGGGAGGCTTGCTGTAGGGCGGGCGGGGAAAATGGAATAAAGACCCTATTCTTTAAAACGAATATATTTTTAGACTTGGTGCTTCCACCCCAAAGCTGGGCGGCTCCCCGGACACTCCCTCCCTCTTGCGCAGTCCAGGCTCTGACCCAGGCTTTCTGAAGCCGTCGGTGTGGGGAAGGCGGTCAGGGCGCCCAGCCCGGCAGTCCCAGGCGGGGCTGGTTACTAACCCGCCCGCAGCCCCTCGGGGTCGACGGTCTCCGGAGGGCCGCGCCGTCAGCAGGGAGGCGACAGGAAGAGGTGCGGCGGCAGCATCGGGGGCGGCGGCAGCGGCGGGGGGAAGGCGGGCAGCAACCAGGGGGCGGGGGGCGCGGGCGGCGCCAGCAGGCTGGAGGGCGCGGGCCGCGGGGATAGGGTAAGGTAGTGGGGGGGGGGCGGCTCGGCGACGAGCTGGGGGCGGCCGCGCGCGCCCACCGGCCCGGGCGTGGCGGCGACGGCGGCCCCGGGCAGCGGCGGCAGCGGCAGGTGCGCGGCGGCAGGCGGCGCGGGCACGCAGGCCTCGGGCGGCAGCTCCGGCAGCGCCAGGTGGGCGCCGGGGCCCCAGGGCGCGAGAGGCTCGGGCCGCAGCGGAAGCGCGGGCAGAGGCGGCAGCTCCGCCAGGGCGAGCGCCAAGGGCGGCGGCGGCGGCGCGGGGCTCAGGCCGGGCGGCAGGCCGGGCAGCGGCGGGTGTGGCAGGGACGGCGCGGGCGGTGGGGTCAGCGACAGCGACGCGCGGGCCCGGCCCAGCCGCGAGCGGGCGCGGGCGCGGACGAGCCGCGGGTTCGAGCGGGAGCGGGGGAGCCGCGCCGCCAGCTTGGCCGCCGCTGCCTGCGCCAGGGCCCGGCGCCCGCCTCCGCCCTCGACGGTCCTTCCCACGGACCGCCGCGCGCGCGCAGGGACCGACCCAGCCAATCACCGGCCGGCGCGCGGGCCGCCTTCGCGTGGGTCCCGCCGGCGGGCACGCGCTACTCCGGGCGGCCAATCAGAGGCGGCGGCGCTCTCTGTGAGGGTCCTAACCAATCACGGCGCCCCGCAGTCCCACAGGCCACACCTCCCACCAGCCCAGCGACAGGGCGCTGCACATGTGCATTTGGCGCCCCCACCTGGCCTTAGGGTGCAGCCGCAGAAGCCGCGCGCCGACGAAGGAGGTTTGCCCTTGGGGGACTCTGGAATGAGACGCCTGGGAGTGGGTCAAGACCTATGCAGAGGGGGACGCCTGGGTGGCTCAGTTGGTTAAGCGGCTGCCTTCGGCTCAGGTCATGATCCCCGATCCCTCAGCAGGGAGCCTGCTTCTCCCTCTGCCTCTGCCTGCCACTCTGCCTGTGCTCACTCTCTCTGAAAAAAAAATAAAAAAAATCAAAAAAAAAAAAAAAAAAAAAGACCTATGCTGAGCGGTGCCAGGGTGGCTCAGTCGTTAAGTGCCTGCGTTCAGCTTGGGTCACGATCCCAGAGTCCTGGGATCGATCCCGCATCGGGCTCCCTAATCAGCTGGAAGCCTGCTTCTCCCTCTTCCACTCCCCCTACCTGTGATCCCTCTCTCCCTGTGTCTCTGTCAAATCAATAAACAAAATATTTTTAATAATAATAATAATTTAAAAAAGACCTATGCAGATTCCCATTCAATTATCTTTAAGAAAAGATCATTCAAAACCAGAATTTGATGACATGGAGCATTTACCTTATCCTTAACAAAGGGTATAAATGACAGATGGGTGACAATCGGGAAAAAGGAGAGAATGATCGCTCTCTTTAAAATCCGAATATAGGGGCGCCTGGGCGGCTCAGTGCGTTAAGCCTCTGCTTTCAGCTCGGGTCATGATCCCAGGGTCCTGGGATCGAGCCCCGCATCGCATCGGGCTCTCTGCTCAGCAGGGAGCCTGCTTCCCCCTCTCTCTGCCTACTGCTCTGCCTGCTTGTGATTTCTCTATCAAATAAATAAATAAAATCTTTAAAAAAATAAAATAAAATCGGAATATAGAAACTTTTACTAGAATAACAGAACATTTCTAGGTGGGTTAGGAAGCCTATCACCCATTGCCCTCACTGAGACAGTCTGCTGGATGGCCCCATGCCCAGAGATTGGGTTGCAATCCTGTTCTCCAGTGTTAACAAAGATTCAATCGAGTAAATTTGCAGATTTAATCGACTTCAAGTGATTCAAGAATCAGACAGCATCTGATCCACCAAATAGAAGGGAGCTGCCAGGAATTGTGTAGCATGGAAGGTTTTTATAGGAAGGAGGGAGAGGGGGCAAGGAAGTTATAGCAAAAAAGATTGTTCCAGGCAAAGTCACCTTCTCTTGCTGGGGGGGCCTGTCTTGGGTGGATTACCTCATCTTCCTTTGGGTGGGGGTGGATAGTGAGGGCCCATGGGCATTAACTCATTGGTGCTGACCAGAAAATCCCTGACTGACAGGTTGAGACTTTCTGGGGGAGGTAGGAACTGCAATTAAGTTAGGTGTTAAGCCTCCCATTGAGGGACTTGACCTAAGTTGCTCCATTTTTGTCTTCTGATTTTCTTTCTAAGACCAGTAAAAAGATGTGATTTATTCTACCACCTTGGGGCAGAAGAAGATGAGACTATTTGGATATATTTTTTAGAGATTTTATTTATCTGAGGGAGAGAGAGCTCGTATGCATCGGTGGAGAGAGAGGAGCAAGGAGAGAGAAGCAGACTCCTGGCTAAGCAGGAACTGGGTCCCAGGACCTTTAGATCATGACGTGAGTCAAAGGCAGAGGCTTAACCAAGTTCTGTGAAAAAGGCAGAGTCCACCAGACGCCTGGGTGGCTCAGTCGGTTGAGTGGCTGAGTGGGACTGGCCTGTCTCTGAGGAAAAGCTCAGAGTGGCAGGTCAATCGCCAATTGTACAACTTCCGTTCTGGACCCAGGTAAAAAGAGTCCTTTGCTTCTGCATTTCTGGGCAAGCAAATTTGTAATCAGAGGATAAGAAAAAGCAGCAATCCATTAGCACTAATATGGATACTGGATTAGTAACTGGCTTTTCAAGACGTTTGAAAGCGTTCAGTAATCTAAGATATTAAAGTTCTGATTTATTCATTTCCAAGAGCCCCTTAAGTGCTTAGGAAGAAGTTACTGGTGGGATTTGCAGATCAAGGAGATTCTGCATGTAACTGAAGTGTCTAAGGGAATTGAGCTAGTCAGGTTTGTAAGGCACGCTAAATATTCAGGGGGGAGTCAGATCCATCAAACTCATAATTTTTTTTTAAGATTTTATTTATTTGACAGAAGTCACAAGTAGGCAGAGAGGCAGGCAGAGAGAAAGGAAGCAGGCTCCCTGCTCAGCAGGCTCGATCCCAGGACCCGGGGATCATGACCTGAGCTGAAGGCAGAGGCTTTAACCAACTGAGCCACCCAGGTGCCCCTCAAACCCATAATCTAACTGAACATGATTCAGAGAATGTGAAAGTGAGTTTTACATCAAATTATAAAATTGATCAGTGCAATAACATTGGGAAGCAAGTGGAAGGCTTAAGAGAGAAAGATTTTTACTTGAATAACTAACTAATAAACTGGTTATAAATGTAGACATAAAGAATGCACCAGTCCCCTCCCTAACTTGGATGTGTCCCCCACGACACTGTGACAAAGTGCTGTCCCATTTGTGGAACGGATGAATGAGGTGGTGGCCTGGACTGCCCCCACACCAACCAGCAACGCCCCCCACCCCCGGCCCCGGCACAGTACACAGAGGCCAACAGGGTAGCATGCCACCTTTATTAATACTCTTAGCCCGAGGGAGACCCTCAGCCAGAAGCCAAGCCCCAGGATCCGGCCGTCCTCGCCCAACACACGGCTGTGGTAGAGAGGCTCTCAGGGTGGTCAGTGAAAGGGCCTCAGTGTTCAGCATTTCCCAAGAGGACAGTGGCCTGGGAAAAGGCAGGGCCCTGGTGAGGTCTGGACCCCTCCTCACCTCCCAGGGCACCTGCACCCTCTCCCACCTCTGGTCTCTAAGATCACTCAGCAGATACCTGCAGGTGATCTGAGTGTGTCCTCTCCCTCCCAAGGGCTGGGACAGCCCCAGTGCAGCCTGGAGGGGCAACCGTGGTGGATAGGGCAAGTGGGGGACAGGGCCACCGTGACCCCTCTCACCTCCATAGCCATTTCCCAGTGGGCCACTGCTGTCTCTCTTCACTGGAGGGCTGCCTAAGGCACAGATCAGCCAGGGCACCAGGTCACCAGGGAACTTTAGAGCCCCCTGCCCTCCCAGCTTCACCCCGGGCCCTGGGAAACTGCCACTCACCAAAGGGTCCAGGGCCCAGCTCTGGCCTTAGCTGTCCATAGGTCGCTGGGGGAAGGGACAGAAGGTGGGAGCACTGAGTCCCCAGTGGCCCTCACATGGTGTCTGTCACTTCCCCATCTTGGTCTCGTGTCCAAGCTCACGCTCAGTGTCCCCAGTTCCAACCGTCTCCTCAAACCCCATCCATTCCTGCCTAATCCCTCTTGTCCCTGTCCCACGCCTTCTCTGCAGAGCTCTGGGTGCGTCTTGGCCCAGGACCCAGCTCCCTACAGCCAGCCTGACAACCCCACGATGCTCGTCCACATCCCCCCTTACCTGGCTGGCTCCTGACCCCTGGGTATGTGCCTCCAGGCCCATATCCAGGCTTCAAGGCAAGCCCCCAAGGCTGCACGGAGGGCCAAGAGCCCCTTAGGGCCCTGGCCTGACCTGCGGGAGGAGAGCTACTGTAGGCACCCCTGCCCATCAGCGCCAGACATCCAGGAACCCACAAGCCCCCTGGGGTTTCAGGTCCCTGCCCACTTGGCTTGGTCCCCGCATCCCTTACCAGGGTTCACCCCCTAAACACTCATTTCCTACCATTTCCTTCAGAGCCCGAAACTACTGCTTTGGGGTACACTGGTGCTTCCTCCCCATACCTTGCAAGAAATCCAAGTGATTCCTGCCCAGCCCCAGGATGTCCCTCCCCCGCCCCTGCACTCTGTCCTCTGTCCCCGACTCACCATTCCTAAAGCCATTGACCCCGGGAAAGTCTGGAGGAGGGAGGAGAAGGTCAGAGACAGGAGGAACCCTTCAGTCCAGGGCCCCCCAGCCCACCCCAGCACTCCCAGGCACCTGGCTTAAGGTGGGCCTCAGGGAAGACCCCAGCTCCCAGACCATTCCCATAAGCAAAACCTGCAAGACAGCAGTGGGAGAAAGGCTGGGTGAGTGGGGGTGGGGGTGGGGCTCATGGTGACCGGCTCGTGGAGAGACAGGAGGCAGCAGATAGAGACTGACTCGGAGGCAAGCCAGAGAGGGCCTCACACACACGGTCCCCATGCTCAGCCAACCAACCCTGTGCAAACTCTGTTGTTCCACCTTCTGGAAGCCTCTCCTGGCCTCCCTCTGGCCAGCTTCCCTTTGCACCCAAGACTGTACCTCGGTGTGCACTTGACCCTCAGCAGACTCCTGTCTCTGGCCTGTCTCTGGCTTGTCTCTGGCTGGCATTGTGGCCTGCTGCAGACGGGATGTGTGCTGGTTCAAGGAGAGAGCCAGCCAGGGCAAGACACAAGGACAAGAGGGCTTGCCACAGGGAAGATACCAGCTTGTACCCTTGGGGGCCCAGGGGGCTCACCAACTTTCTGAGGCTTGAGGCCACCACCAAAGCCTGAGAGAAAGCAAGTGGGGGCGGAGATGGAGGAGTCAGAGAGAGATAAAGCCTCTGACTCCCCTCTTCCTGAGCTAGGGGCCAGGAGAGGAGGGAAGGGGAAGGGCCTCCTCACCCAGTTCTGTTCCCAGTCCATAGCCATTCAGGGGCTGGTATCCTGTGAGGAGAATGGGGCCATTAACTCCTTGGGGGCCAAATATGGACCTTAAGGGCTCTGAGGAGGAAGAAGGGATACTCCCTATCAACAGGGAGCAGAACCAGAAGAAATGGGCTTAGAAAGCAGCAAGAGAGACTACGGGTAGACTCAGGGAGGGACTTCCTGGCCTTAGGAGCCTGGACAGCTGCAGCAGACTGGGGCCCAAGGATGACGGAGGAGTGACCCTGATCTGGGCTAGGGACAGGGGGCAGACAGAGTCACACCTGCTTTCTGAGGTTTCAGCCCCCACTGGATGGCTGGAGTCGGTGCTAGGAAGAAAGCCATGGGACAGAAGTGAGCTTAGGGCGGGGAGGGCTGGGAATGCTGCAGCCTGCCCCTGGGCAGGGGCAGCTGCCATAATGGCCCAGCTAGACCCAGCCCCTCCTGGGAACAGGGATCCCCTGGTGCCCCATCCCCGGCCCCCTACTCCACACTGACCTGGGAACTTGCCATTCTGCCCTGGGGGAGAGGGCTGGGATTTGGCACCCCAGCCGCCGCCCTCTTTAGCAGAAGGGACCCCCGAAGTGGGAGGCCTGGGGAGAAGCAGTGGAGGGACCCTCCCATGGCAGGGACCTAGATGGGGAAGGAAGGGGGGAGGGCAGTGAACCCAGGCTAGCACCTGCCCCAGGCCAGTCTCCCGGCCTCAGCCTGGCCAAGCCACCAGCCCATAATGACTTCCAGGGCAGACACAGCTTCCGAGGGAGGCCATGGCTAGGCCAGAGAAAGCCCCACTCCCGTGGTACCTGGGGTACAAGGGGACCCAGCCACCTAACATGGCTCCTGCTCTTGGCCCACCTAGACCCTCTGTGTTCCAGCAACATCCCTCCTGCCTTTCTCCTGGTGCATCTCCCTTCACCCCCAGCCCTGCCCCAGGAGCCTCACCTGGCTGGGCCCCCACCCCATTTCCGTTGCCATATCCTTGAGAGAAAAAGCAGGGATGTGAGGGGTAGTAATTTAGCGGGGAGGGTTCTGGAAGGAGGCAGGTGGAGGTGCAGGATAGAGACAGGGTGGGGGTGGGGGTCTCTCACTTGCCTGGCTTCTGAGGTTTCACACCCCCTCCCAGAGCTGCAGGAGAGACAGGCCCCCTCAGACTTCAGACCTCAAGCTCCCAAGAAAGAGCCCGGCCCCCCCACTTCTAAAGCCCGGGCCACACTCACCTGCTGGGAGCTGCAGTCCCGGAGTAAAGTCTGGGGAGAAAAGCAGGTGTGAGGGCTCGGGCAGCGGCAACCTCAGGGCAAGGTGGGGGAGGGGTGGGAATGTGCTCACCTGACTTTAGAGGGCTCATGCCCCTTCCCAGGGCTGGGGAGAGACAGAAACAGGCTGAGTGACAGCTGGATGCCACCCTGCCCCTTCTCTTCCCAGGACCCAACTCTGTGCCCCCTGGGGCCCTGCCCCCCCGCCCCCCCACCGCCCCACTTCCTCCCTCACCTGGCTGGGCCCCTTGGCCTGGGAAGACTCCGGCTCCCAGCCCATTCCTGTAAACTGGGAGACAGGGTGTGTGGATTGGGAAGGGGGAAAGCAGTGAGAGGAATAGACAGTTTCTGGGGTTAGAGAGCAGTGGGGGCCTGATTCTGAAGCTGATCCTAATTCTGGAACTTCCCCACAGCACCAAGCAATTCTCCCAACACCAGCTGGGTGTCTGACAACATGCCTCAACCCTGACACCAGCCACCTGCAGACAGCCTCAGACCCCACAGGTGAAGGGCTCAGTCGCCCACCCCCTCATTTCAAGCACCCTCAGCCCAGGTTGCCAGCGGTACGTCTGACCCTCTGGCTAGGAACCCAGCTCCTTGCGTGGGACCGATTCGCTGGAGCAGCTCACAGAACTCAGTAAAAGTTTCCTTACTAGAATCCGGGCTCTTTATAAAGGCCAGCAGATGGAGGATAGGGAGGCCAGGCGTGTGGGAAGGGTGGAGGGGCCTCTGCACTCCCCGGGCCTCCAAGGGGTCACCCGCCACCCCAGAAGCTCTCCCTGACTGGCCCTTTTGGGGTTTTAGGAGGCTCTCTTACACAGGCACGGCTGATGACCCTTTCCATCTCCAGAGGTCAAAGGGAGGGACTGAAAGTTCCAACCCTCCAATCCCAAATTGGGTGCCCCTAGCAAGCAGCCCCAACCTTAGATGACACGGGGCTCTCCAAAAGTCACCATTAACATAACAAAAGACACTCTACCGGTCTCCGCACTTAGGAAATTCCTAGGCTTTGAGGGGTTCTGTGCCGGGACTGGGAGACCAAATAGTTCTACCGTATTAGAAGTCCCCGTCTCGCAGGACTCACAGGGAAGAAAGCCTTACCTGGCTTCTGCAGCTTCCCGCCCTCACCGATGCCTGAAGAAGAGATGGGAACAGGTTAGTGACCTACTCCCCTTCTCTGGGCCTCTCCAGAACCCCGGGGTCTGGCCCCAGCGCCTGCTTCCCTACCTGGTCCGTAGCCCACGGGAACCGCAGGGCCTGTGGAGATGGAGAGGCTCAGGTACGGGAGGCTGGGGTGGGTCGGGGGGAGCTGGAAACCCAGGCCTCCTGGGCCTCCTGCCACTTCCATTTAATCTCCAGCCCCGCCCTCACCTAGTCTGGCAGGAACCCCCCGCCCCCAACAGGGCCTGGGTGAGGACCAGTGCTCCCCGCCAGGCCCTCCTCTCTTCTCCCCTCAGTACCTGCTCTGCAGCCTCTGGGAGCTGGAGGACCCGTGCGGGGAGGAGGGATGAGCAGGGGATTGGGGCTGGCTAAGGTGGGGGAACCGCCAGTGGTCCCCCTTCAAAGCCCAGCCAGAACCGGGCGTCCTGGAGGCCCAGCTGCTCCTAGGCTAACCCGTCCTCCTGCAAGGCCACCAAGGAAGCAGGAGAGGACACCCAGACTTGTACCCCCCAGATGCCACCAGTCTCACCTGGCTGGCCTCCCAGCCCATTGCCATTCCTGAATCCTGGGAGGGACAGATAGATAGGGGTGTGAATGGGGGCAGGAAAGCTCGGGCTTTGGGGGAGGTGGAGAGAGACAGGCAGGGGTGAGGTTCACCTGGCTTCTGGATTTTACCTCCACCCCATGCTTGGGGAGGTGGAGGCTGATGTCCACCCACCAGACCTCTCCTCAGGGTCCCCTGTGCCCCCAGTTTCTCCCAACTCCTCTGGACCCGTCACGGCTGGGCTCCTGGTCTTTTTTTTTTTTTTTTTTTTTAAGATTCCATTCATTTGACAGACAGAGATCACAAGTAGGCAGAGAGAGGGGGAAGCAGGCTCCCTGCTGAGCAGAGAGCCTGATGCAATGTGGGCTCCATCCCAGGACCCTGAGATCATGACCTGAGCCAAAGGCAGAGGCTTAACCCACTGAGCCACCCAGGTGCCCCTCCTAGTCCATTTCTGTTACCATATCCAGGGGAGGACAAACGGGGGTGGACAGGAAGGGCCGGTTTTGGAGGGGTTCAGGAGGAGGCAGGACAGAGCCCTCAGCATGGGAGTGTGGGGCAAAGAGGCTGCGGTACAAGGGAGAGGTCACCTCCTCCCTCCCCGGGCCTCCTGGGCCACAGGCTAAGCTCCCATCTCCCCACCACGTGGAAGCCAGCCCTCCGCCTTCCTCTCTCCCTGAGAGAAGTCTGGGCCCAGGCCCCTGAGACAGCCATGCCTCCCAGCGGGTCCCAGATCTTAGAGAGTGACAAGGAGCCTGAGGAGGGGGTGCTCTGGCTTCAGGGGACCCATGGACACAGACAAGACTGGGCCAGACTCACCTGGTTTCTGGGGCTTCATGGCCCCCCCCAAAGCCTGGAGAAGACACGGGAGCAGGTGAAGGGCCCAGAAGCCCCATCTCAAGGCCTCCCCAGGGTCCTCCCCACCCTGCTTCTACCTGCTCCGTATCCGTTCTGGGTCACTAGGCCTGTGGGAAGAGGAAGGGTGAGGGGAGACGTGGGGTCAAGCTGACGTAGAGGTAAAGGTGCTCCCTTCAGAGCCAAGCCCGAAAGCTGGAATCCTGGAAGATTCTGCTCAGCAACCCCCCCATTACTTACCAATCCTGCCCCTGCCAGGCCTGGAGGGAGGTGGGAGAGGGTGCCCAGATGCTGACCCCCAGACCCCAGCAGTCTCACCTGGCTGGGCTCCCAAGCCGTTGCCATTCCCGAGTCCTGGGGGACAGAGGGGGCTGTGTGAATGGGAGAGGGGAGCTTAGGGTTTGGTGGTGGAGAGAGATAGGCAGGGGTGAGGCTCACCTGGTTTCTGGGGCTTCATACCCTCTCCAAAGCCTGGTGGAGACAGGGAGCAGATGAGAGCCTGGTCCCCATCTCCAGGTGTCCTCAGAGCCCTAGAAGGTGCCTACCTGGTCTGTAGCCGTTTTGAGTTGCAGGACCCGCTGGAAGGCAAGAGGGGCTCTGGAGCCAGCCTCTCTCTGAGGTTCCCCCTGGAATCCGACGACAGCCACCCCCACCCAGTGGAGCCCCTACTCTCCCCCTGGGGCCCAACTCCCTGGGAAACCTGAACATCATCCCCACTGCCTGGGTCCCTCCTGGACGGCTGTCACTGCCACCACATGCATCAGCCAGTGGGGGAGACCAGCAGACTGGGTGATCCGGCTCCGCCTCCCCAAGCACCAGCAACTTTCTTGCTCCCGCCACCTTGGCCTCTGAGCTGTTTCCAGAGCCGCTGCCCTCTCCAGTCTCTCTTAGAGGCCGCAGCTCAAGCACCCACCGATTCAGTGGGCCCCAGCCAGCGGTCTTCCCCCCGACCTCTGCCACCCCTTCCCTAGATGCTCCCGGCTCCCCACTTGTGCTCACACTCCCTACCTGTCCACCTGTCCCAGCGCACCCCAACTCCAGGGGGGCCTGTCTCCCAGCTGGCCAGCCCCTGGTGGGCTGCTGAACCAGTGTTGCTCACACCAGGAGGGAGAGGCAGCGGTGGACAGTGGGTCTCACGTGGCTCCCAGGCAGAGGGAAGGCCAGGAGGCTGTGTGTCCCCCCCCAGCCCCTCCTGCTCCCTCAGTCCTAACTAGGCCTGGGCACCCCCAGTGACCCCTACGCTCCTAGAGCCTCAGAGCCTCACCTGGTTGGGCTCCTACTCCCGGGAAGGCGCCACCTCCCAGCCCGTTCCCATTCCTGAATCCTGGGGAGACAGAGCAAGAGGGAATACGGGGGATCTGGGGCTTGGGAGCACAGACAAAGAGATACTGACAGGGAGACAAAGAACAGGGTTCACCTGGCTTCTGGGGTTTTCCGCCCCCTCCAAAGCCTGGGGGAGAGACTAGCAGGTGAGGGACCCAGAAGCCCAGCCCTGGGTCCCAGCTTCAACCCCATCCCCTTGCTACCCCTGGTCCAAAGCAATTATGAGCTGTGACATCTGCTGGGGGGAGGGGGTGACATGGAAAAGTGGGGTGGCGCTGAAACAGGCCCCCGGGCTCCCCCACCCTGCTGCACGGATTCCCTCCCCTCCCCTCGCACATTCCTGAGTTCAGCCTGGCTGCCAGAGTCAGGGAGGGGGCCATGGAGCCTGTGACGGGAGAGGGCCTGGGAAGGCAGGCTGCAAGGGACCCACCCCTCAGACCTGTCCCACAGCTGCCCTCTGGCCCACACCTCCTGCCACCATGCTTCCGAGCTCAGCCTCCTTCAGTCCTCCCACCCAGCCCTGGAGCCAAGAGTGGCTCTCTCTGGCTTAAAACCCCAAGGGTGTGGGCCTTTGCAAGGTTAAAGCCCCTCAGGACTGGGCATGCTGGCTGGCCCAGGACAGGCACTTGAACGCTGGTGGGATGAAGGAGCCCCTAAGAGACCCTGTGCTTGCACTCAAGGCATGGCCGGGACCTTGACCGCTCCAGCCTTGTGCCCCTGCCCCAAGCTGCCCCAGCCTGGCCAGGCCCCTGGCTATTGCCAGCTGCAGCCTAGAGAGGAAAAGCAGTGTGAGGAGTGGGCTCGGGGAGGAGAGTTAGGGACTAGGGCAACACCCAGAGCCATGGAGCCACATGTGGACGTCATCCCATCCTGTTCTCCCCCGAGGAGTCAGTTTTCTGCCCCCCAGTCACTGACCTCCCTAGCTCCTCCCCAGAACCCCAGCTCGGCCCAGATGCCCTTACCTGGCTGGGCTCCGAGTCCCATCCCATTCCCATTGCCGAGTCCTGGGAAGACAGCAAGAGGGAGTAAGGGGAGGCCCAAAGGCCAGGCGGAAGAGGACAGAGACACAGGGACAGCAGGCAGTGCACCTGGCTTTTGAGGTTTCACGCCCCCTCCAACTCCTGAGAAAGGGTCAGGGACCAGGTGAGAGAGCCCGGAGCTCCCTTGAAGCCTCACACTCACGCCTCTGCCCCCCGGCCCCCACCCCGTACCTGGTGCCTGGCCACCATTCTGAGCCACAGGGCCTGTGGAGAGAGGGAGGGCGGGGCTGGAGCTGGGTCAGTGTGGCTGCTCTGGGGGGCTCCCCTGACCTGTGCCGCCCTCACCCAGGACTTCTGTGTCCCTCAACTGCTCTTTGCAGGAAGCATGCCCAGAGAAGGGCTTGGAAATCAGGAAGACCGTTCTGAGACCACGCTCAGGCCGTAGAAATGACAGCAGCAGCCCAATGAAGAGAGGAGTCCCTTAGGGGGGGTAACACGTGCCCAAGGGGGGGACATGGAGAGAGGGCTGCTCTCCCCTCACCTGGCTTCTGAGGATCCATTCCCCCTCCCAGGCCTGGGGAGAGACCAGGAGGCTTCCCAACCTCCCCACGGCCCCACCCCCAACTTTCTCCCCTACTTCATCCTTGTTCCAACTCTATACCTCCTCCCGCTTTTCCCTCCCCAGGCTCAGGCTCCAGGTGTCCTCACCTGGCTGGGCTCCCAGCCCTGGGAAGGAACTGGCTCCCAGTCCATTTCCATATACTGGGGAGACAGAGCCAGAGGGAGTAAGCAAGAGGGAGGGGGCTGGGCTTCACAGGGAGCCAGACGGAAGGCAAGGTGGAGAGAGGGGTAGGCGTGGATGGGGCATCTCACCTGGCTTCTGGGGTCTCACACCCCCTCCAAAACCTGGGGGGAGAGATGTGGTGGATGAGGGAGTCCCAGGCGCCCAGCCCCTTCCTGTGGCTCCAAGGCCATGATGAGAGGCGAGGCACAGGGCTTCTGGGGTCCCAGCTGAGATGAAGCTGAAAGAGGGGTGCCCTTCTCCTACCCTCCCCCAACGAGTCAGCAGTTCTGCCCTGGGGGAGCCTGGGAAACGACCCTCCCAGTGCCCACCCAGCCTCATCAGCCTTCAGCTCTTCTCCCGCCTTACCTGGCTGGGTGACAGCACCTGGGAAGGTCCCCATTGCCAGCCCATTTCCAAACCCTGGGGAATAGGGCAAGCGGGGGTCAGGGGGGAATAAAGGAATAACAGGGAGGGGGGAGGCAAGACAGAGATGGGGAGAAACGGGGGGGGGGCTCACCTGGCTTCTGGGGTTTCACACCCCCTCCTGTGCCTGAGAGGGAGATGGGGCTCAAGTGAGGGTCTCAAAGCCCATTTCTGGAATACCTAGAATCCTGCCCCCAGCTCCCAATGACCCTGCGCCCACCTCTACCCGTTCTGTAGCCAGTCAGAGCTGGAGGACCCATAGGGAGAGGGAGGGATGAACAAGGGAGGTTTGGAGTCCTCGATACGGTGGGGGTACAGGAGCCTTGGACCACACCAGAAATGGCAAACTGGAAGGCTCCCTGTCTGCCTGCCTCAATCATTGAAAAATCCTGATCCTTCCCTCTAAGGCCTGGGAGGGAGGCAGATAGAACCAACCGAACCAACCCCCAGAACCTGCCAATCTCACCTGGCTGGGCTCCCAGCCCATTCCCGTTCCCAAATCCTGGGGGGACAAATGGAGATAAAGGGTGTGAGAGAAAGGTGGGGAGACAGAGCTGGGGCTGGGCAGGTTTCCCTCAGAAGCCAGGGGAGATCCAGGGACTAGGTGAGGGGCCCAGGACCCTCCCTGCTTCTGAGCAGCAGGCCTATGGGAATTCAGCTCCTATCTGCCCATCCCAGAGGTAGAGAGCCCCGTTGGTGAACGGGGAAGGGGGCCTTGGAGCCCACTCTCAGTCAGCCCAGGGGACATGCAGTGAGCCAGACTTGCCCCCACTGCATGGGGCTCAGTGGGGGCAGCACAGACAACAAGCAGGGACAGGAAAGAGTTGGGGGTGTCCGGGGTGGGGCACACAGGTGAGATGACATCAGAGCAGTCTTGCCGGATTCCTACGTGGGAGGGGAGTGTGTACAAGAGGATAAGGAGGCCAGCCTGAAGGGGTCACAGTTCACTTCTCTGGGGACGGAGGTGGGGGGATCAGCACTGTCCCCACATATTTTTGACGTGGCCGCTTCTCCCAACCCCCAAATCCCATCTGTCCATTTCTCACCTGCTCCCAGGCCACTGGGGGAGCCGTAGCCTGGAGGGGAGGGGATGAAGACAGGAAGTTGAACCTGAAGGGCCGGGAGGGGCTGGGAGCTGGGGTTCCTCACCCTCACTCGGAGGACACCGCTGCTCCCATGAGAGGACCTGCTCTTCCTCTCAGCCAGCTTTACCTGATCTGTAGCCATTGGGGCTCCCGAAGCCTGTGGGTTGCGGAGAAGGGGGTTAACTTAGGAGGGGGCAAAGGGCTGAACCTGAATGCTACCCCTTCTGCTGTGCAAGCAAGAATGTAACCCCCTTTGGGCCTCAGTTTCCTCTCCGGTCACAGGAGGGGTGACAGCACCAGGTGAGCAGCCTGGAGGCAGGGGCCTGGGGGGAGGTGTTCGGGCTGGACCCCTGCTCCTTCTGCAGGGGCGCGACCACCAACCCCCTCCCCGCTCCATTCTTACTCTGGAGAGTCTCTGGACCCCTCCCTTCCTGGTGCCCCACCCCCTCATCTTTCTCTCTTGCAGCTTTGGTGCATCAGGTCTCAGGATGGAGCCACTTCTCCCACCCTGAGGACCCCACAGATCCCTGGATTGAAGACTCTTCTGTGACACTCTGCCCCTACCTGCCCAGCCCCTGGGCCACCGGCCTCGTCTTCTCACCTCCGCCCTACCTCCCAGCCTTTGCCCCTTCTCACTGCCAGGATGTCCTTACTCTTCCCTGTCCTAGCTTGACCCCCTTGGAGACCCAGTTCCAAGCCCCTCCTCTGAGATGTCTCATGCCTGCCGTTGACGTGCTGCCGTACCTCACCCTGGTTCCAAAGGTGTGGGGTGTCTTTGCTCCCCACACTCGAGCTAACCACGGACAAGAGTGTCTGCCATGAAGACAGGGAGGGACCCTGTGCTCTCCTGGGCCCCACATCGGGATCCCAGAACTAGGTAGGGAACATCTGGGACTCTCTTCCAGAGATCTCCCGGACCCACAGGGGAGAAACTAGGCTCTCTCCCTTGACCCCAGTGACAACGGGGACCACTTACCTTTCCCTGGGCCCGGAGACAATGGACGTAGTCCTAGGGAGCAAGGAGGCGCAGACTCAGGATGGGGACCCCAGAGATGGAGAGGGAGAAGGACCCGGGCATCTATCCCTGAACCCCCCATAATCCTGCCCCCCAGACCTCACACACACGGAGCCCCAGCATTGGCCCAGTGCTGTCCCTAGCCCTCCCAGACCCAACCTCAGCTGCCTGCCTCCCGCCCTCACCGCCTTGTAGGCTTTCCGAAGCCAGGCAGAGCAGGAGAAGGGCTGTGGGGAAGGCCCAGGTGCCCATGATGCCGAGTGGAGTGGGAGGGCACACACCCTTTGGGCCTTTAAGCACCTCTCCTGGGTGGGGTCTCTCACCCATGCCCCCCAGCTGTGAGGGGCAGAGGCTCTGTTGGCAGACCCCAGAGGGTCAGCCCCCCACCTCTCTCCGTGGCAGGACTCCAGAGCCCGGCCTTCTCCCTGCCCCACCCCTCATCCATCACGAGTGCTGACAGCCGGGACAGGCCCCCACCTGGCCCCCGAGGCTCACTCCACCCCTGTCAGGATTGGGGCCCTGGCGCCAGGCCTCGGGGGCTCAGATTCCCTCCCCGCAGCTGGCAAAGTGCAGGCAGGCACCCCAGGCCCAGCCCAAACACAGCTGGAGAGAGGAGAGAAAGCCAGGCCCAGAAATGGGGGTGGGGTGGCTGGCAGCAGAGCCCGAAGGAGTTACTGTGTTGCACGGAGAGCGGGGGGCAGAGGCCACAGTGTCCCAGAGGCACGTGGAGAAGCAGCAGTGCAGGACACTGGGTCTGACAATGAGGCTGTCCAGGAAGAGCCGGGCAATTAGCTCGTCAAAGCCCGGAGACTCCGGGACCAAAGCAGGAGCTGCCCCCACCCCCTTCCATAAGAAGTGGTGACACAGAGGGAGCCTATCGAGGGACCACTGCTGTTGCCTGAAGGCTTGGTGGGAGTCCACCTGCCACAGGAGGCCCTCTCGGTGTCACCTCGGTCTCCTGCTCAGCTCTAGCAGCAGTGACTCCAAGGCCGGGGGACTGGAGGGAGGGGCACTGCCTAGGGGGCAGTGGAGATAGGAAGCACTCTGTTTCTAGGGTGGCAGAAGAGCCTGGAGCCCAGGCCAGGTGGGGGGCTTGGTGGGGAGCCAAGTATGGGAAGACAGAAGAGGCAGGCCTGGAAGTGCCAGGAGTGAAGCCCCACCTCTGAGCTGGCTGGGGACAGTAGTGACTCAGCCCCTCTGGGCCCTTGTCCAGAAGGTTCCACACCCTGTCTGTCTGAGGGTCTGGCCCCTGCCCAGCCAGCCCTTCCTGGCACCTCTGGCTAAGGAGGGCGGCCTATCAGGTGGGGCTGCCTGACGGGGTGAGGGCCCAGACAGGGGCTACGGTGGGGAGTCGGCCTGCTGCAGGGCTCCCAAGACCATGGCACATGCAGGGGCTACCTCTAGCCACATGGGACAGCAGGGCTTTGAGCAGATGCCCCCCAACACGGAGACGTGCCTGTCCATGCCCTCCCACCCACATCCCAGGCTGCACCCCAGGACCACACTCCCACGGCCCCTCTATTCCCACTAGGTCCCCTCAACCCGGTACCCCCGGTGAGGCGCCCCCATGTGCCCACTGCTTCCCCTGCCTTGCATAGAGCTATGAGCCAGAGTCCTGAGGGCTGGACCTTTTACTGGCTGCTGGGAGGGGCCCCAGGCCCCTGGGTCCAGCCACCCCATGAGAGCCCAGAACAGCTGGGACGATCTCTGCAGACTCCCCGGGAAGGACTTCCTGCCAGGCCACCTGCTCCATCCCGTAAAGGCAAGCACCAGCTCCCTGGTCTCCTCGAGGGCCTCGGAGTGGGCTTGTGGTTACCAGGCCAGCCACTGGATTCAAATTCCAACTGGGTTCAAATACCTGCTCTATCCGGCCAGGATGCGGGAGCAGGAACCCAGCCTCCCTGGGCCCATTCTTTTTCCTCTACAACGATGACACTGACATCCAGCGTGTCAGGGCTACTGGGGGGAGCTGCTTCTTACTCTCGTCTTACAGATGGGCTCAGGTCCTACAGCTCCCAAGCAGGGGGCCTGGGACTTGACAGTCTGCAGGCCCAGTTATCCCAGACACTGCCTTGCTCTCTGCATGCCTCATGTCGCTCTGGGCCCAAAATGTGTGCTTCAGACTCGGTATAGCTAACAGCCCCCTCTACAGACCCAGACACTAGGCTTGCCCCACCTGGGTGCCCGGGAAGCTTGGCCCACGAGGAGGTGGGCACAGACCAGGAGGGGCCATGCAGGGGGTTCGGGCCAAGTGCCTGCGAGTCTTCTGCCAAAGGGAATGCTGGTGCCCACCACCACTGCCAGGCTGCCTGGGGGCTGGCATGGGCCGGTGGAAAATGCCAGCCAGCCTGGGACTTGGGCCAGCTTCATGCTGCTGGGGGCCAAGCCCAGTAGGGCACCCCTGGCCCATGCAACGGTGCCATCCCTACCCCAGCACATCCAGTCCCTTCAGGCCATCCCCTAGCCCAAGCCAGCCTGGCTAAGAGCCCCTGGACCACGTGGAGGCCGGGAGAGCCCCTGATGGAGTCCCAGCCTCGGGAACCTTCTCTCCCAGGCGTGAGAGGACCTGGTGGCTCAGCTTCCAAGGAGAGGAGCAACTTTGAGGGGATAGAGCTAAGAGCCCAGGCAGGGCAAGGCGACAGCTGGGTGTTGGGAGAGCAAAGCAGAGGCCCAGGAAGCGTGTCGCCTAAAATGGCAAAGCCTGTCAGCAGACTCCCAGCCAGCTGCTCAGAGCAGCACCTGCCCGGGTGGGAGGGAATTTGGGGAGGACAGCTGGAGGGGAGGCAGGTGCCCCGTGAACCTGCGACTGTGCTCAATCCCCTTGGGTCACCCGCCCGGCCCTCCATCAGGCAGCTCTTCAGCGCAAGTGCCTCGGGGACACCGCTGCCGGCACCTCCAGGCCCTCCCAACGCTGACTCCCCGTCTCCACCCCACGCCGGTTTATTAAACCTGTTCTAGTGTGAAATGAGGCACACACCCAGAAGCGTGGGTAAGACAAATGCACACTAACACACCTATACAACACCCACCGCACCTGACACCAAGACCAGCTCCCCCGACGCACCCACCACAATCCCCTCTTCGTTACGGTGCCCTGTTTGCACCTGGGCCGTCCTTTCCCTGCTTAAGTCACGTTAGTCCAACTTCCCTGGGAGAGTCTGGGTGTGGCCATAGCCTTGTTGCGGCGACGGGACACACGGGGGCGCGCGGGGCTCGAGCCGGCTCTCACCGGAGCGCGGGCGGGACCCCGGGAACCCAGCGCTTGGGCGGGGGGGCCGGGGGCCGGGGCCTGGGGGCCAGGGGCGGGGGGCCGGGAGCCTGGCGGGGGGGCTTCTTCGCGGGCCCAGCCCCCTCCAAGTTCTTTGGTCTCAAAGCCTGCGGGCCCTTGCCTCTGCCCCTGTGGTCCCGGGGAGGGTGTGGGGGTCCTGGTTGCTCTCCCCAGGAACTTCCTTTTGGCCTCGGCAGCTGCTTTGAAAACCTGTACAACTCGATACAAATGACAGAATGTTGCTGTTATTATTAAACGGTGAGTAAGCTCCTACTGTGTGCTTGCTCCGCCTTGACCTAAGCCCTTTGCATTCATTTTCTTATGTAGTGCTCCTACCCTACAAGGACATGGGAACTATCATCTCCATTTTACAAACATGGAAACAGGTCCAGAAGCATAAAGCAACTCGCTCACGACAGCACAGATTACCTGTACAGCAAAGCAGGGTAGAGCCCTAATTTTCCTTACTCCACGACCGGTGCTCTCTCCTACTATCTGTACTTAACTTCATAATACAGTCCTTCCACAGAGGGAAATAACCCTTGGAAGTATATTTTTGAATTTTAAAAATATTTACTTTAAATAATTGCAAAGCAGGCTTTCAAGAGTGGGCAGCTGGAAGAAGCCCAAGGTCCCGGACTCCTGGGAGATGGGACTGGCAGAGGGGATGGCAGCTGGAGAGAGAGGCCCCCCTGCTTCCCCAGGCCTCCTGAGGACAAGCTTGGGGTCTTTCACAAGGATCCAGCCTGAGTCACAGGGGCTGTGGCTGCCAGAGATGCAAATGCAAAGGAAGGGTGTGCGGGGGAGGGGGGGTGTCGGATCCAGCCCCCAGAGAAGCTCCAGGTCTATGGGCCTAACCTGATATGCCAGGCCCTCCCGTGCTGGTCCATGAACTGGAATGTTCCCTGAAGGTGCGGGCACAATGGGCTGGGAACCCTAACCTGTCAGAAACTTGGGGGATGGGTGGTAAACAAATAAGCCAGTAAATAGAGGCCAGGATTTCAGATAGAGGAAGTGTAATACGAAAATAAGGTGGGACAAGATGGGGAGTGTTCTAGAGAGGGTGGCCTGGAAGCACCCCGTTAAACCGATAAAAGGTGCCCTATGTGAAGGAAGGGGCAACCCCCAGCCGCGCTATTGTTAGGAACTAGCCCTTGCCCTGCCCCGGCTCCCCGCTAAGGACTTTAAGGGGATCATCCAATGTGAACCTCTAGCTGCTTGGGGAAAGCTGCATCAATCAGCCCAGTTTTTGCAGGAGAAGAGACTAATCCGAAGCTCGGAAAGGCCCGGTGCTTTCCCAAGGTCGTTCAGCCCGGGAGGGGCTGAGGCAGGGTTGAGTTGAGCTCGAATCTCAAATCCAGAGAATGGTTAGGGCTGCCTCGGAGGCGGCCGCGGCCAGTCTGCAGGGCTTCCCCGGGGGGTGGGAGAATGTCTGGCATCCCGGTGAGGTGACGGCAGGCATGAGGGAGCCAGAGAACCCAGGGCGTCCCACCCCGCTGGGACCCGGAGGCCGCAGGGACTTCCCGTCTGGTCCCGAGGGACCGCCTCCTGGGGCACCTCTGGGGCAAACCGCCCCTTTTACAGTCTCGAAAACCAAGCCAGCGAAGCGAGGGCGGTGGGTGCGGGACTGGGGTCTGGAGGTCTGTCCACATCCCGGGAACCGAGTGGGGGAGGTACATCGGCCAACTCGGACCCCGCGCCACCCCTCAGCCAGGACACCGTACCGCGCCCCAGCCTCCGCCCGGGGTGGCGCCGAGGAGACGTCACGCCTGCGCAGTGAGAGGGCACGGCCTGAGGAGCCAGCGGAGCGGGCCCGGTGACGCGCACGCAGAGACGTGGGGGAGGCGGAGCCCCGGCGCCCTGGGCGCCTCTGATGGGCTGCATCCGGGAGTGGGCGGAGCAGAAGGCGTTCTTGGGCGGGGCCTCGAGGCCGGTTTGGAATTTTTGGCGCGAGCCGGCTCTGCGCGCGTTCACGGGCCGTTCCCCTCCGAGAGTCCTCCGGTAGAGAGCTGTCGCCCGCAGGCCCCAGCCCGCCTGACCGCCCCGGGGGCTTCCGCAGCCTCTGCCGACCCGGAATCTGGGACCTTGCTGAGCTGCTCCCCGCCCTCCAGGTGAGCCCAGGCCGGGTCCTGAGGGTGGTGGGCCGGGACTCCCCTCCCGGCAGCCTCTGCCCCGTGACAGCCCCTGCCGGGGTCAGCCTCAACGGCTTCCGGCCCCGCGGGGTCGCGCCCTGCCCGCGGCGGCCCCTCCCTCTGCCCTGGCTCGGCTCCTGGGGTGGGCCCCGGCCCTCTGGGCCTTCCCCGGCCTCCCAGGCCCCTTTTCTGGGAGCGCCTTTCCCCGGAGACTGGCCCCCCCTTACCGGGCCCTCTCCGGGAGTAGCTCCTCACCCTTGACAGCCGGTCTCTTCGGATGTTCGCCAGGGTTTCCCCACGTCCACCGAGGTGAACCAGCTGTGGCCCTGCCCGGGAGGAGCTCACAGTCTAGCGCGGTAGACCGTGGTCAGCGATGTGTCCGGCCCAGTGAGAGGGTGAGAAAGCTCCAGAGGTCACGCAGGCCGGCCTGCTCCGGGCCACCCTGGACTCTCCGGGGAGCCCCTGTTCCTTCTCTCTCCCCTGTCCCCTCCCCAAAGCTGTTCAGCCAGGCCAAGTGGTGCTAGAATGCAAGGGATATTGGGGTGGTCTAAGAACTGGTTTAAGAGGCAGGTGCCTGGTGTCCCCAACATGCTGGGACTGGGCCTCTAACCAGCGCTGGAGGGGGTTCTGACACCCTGGTTCTGCGCTGGAAGAAACCTGACATGGGAATCCTGAGGTGAACCCTGCAGAGGAAGGGTCCCCACAGGGTGTAGGGTGTCTTCTCTGCAGGCCCCCCGGGGGGGTCCCTCCCCTGTCCTCTCACTGTCCCAGCTACTGGAGGGCACACCACTTCAGAGGACTGCTCCCTCCTGGTTCTGTTACTGACTCACTCCCTGCTGGGTATGGTATCTTTTGATACACTGTGGCTTCTTCTCCAAATTGGACTCCTCCTCTTTGGTCTTCTTGTTTATAATGTTTCTGTTATAACATTATAGCAACATAAGAGCCCTTTCTCTCCCAACACACACCTTGGGACGGTTGCACTTTGTGTGTTCCTTCAGTTACCACTCAGAACACTATTATATATTACTTGTTATGTAACAGCATTTACTGGGGGATCTGTATGCCAGACACTGGGCTGAGCCTTCCCTGAGGTATTACCATCCACAATGCCCTGTGACTTGGTGTGTTTCTGAATTCAACATGTCTCTTGATTTTAGAAAGCTAATAGGGTACATACATCATTTATATGTAACATCACCTGTGGGCCTAGGACATCATCCCATAATCAAACCCATTAATATTTCTGTCAAGAAATACATGAACAGGGCTGCCTGGGTGGCTCAGTGGGTTAAGCCTCTGCCTTCAGCTCAGGTCATGATCTCAGGGTCCTGGGATCGAGTCCCACATCAGGCTCTCTGCTAGGCAGGGAGTCTGCTTCCTCCTCTCTCTCTCTCTATACTTGTGATCTCTCTCTGTCAAATAAATAAAATCTTTAAAAAAAAAAAAGATATACATGAACATTCACTGTTAGAGGGTAAAAGAAGTTAAGTCAGAGTTTTCTGCTCGATGATTGTTGCATGTGGAGATCCAGTCGTTGCAGCACTGTTTGTAGAGAAGACTTCTTTCCCACTGAATGGTTTCAGCACCCTTGTCCAAATCAGTTGACTGTGAGTGTCAGGGTTTATTTCTAAACTCTCAGTTGCATTTCAGTGATCTATACATCTGTCCTTCTGTGAACACCACTGTTCTGATTCCTGTAGCTTTACAATCAGGAAATGCAAGACTTCCAACTTTGTTTCGACTATTCTGGGACCTGTGAAATTCTGTATGAATTTTAGGATCAGTTTCTCAATTTCTACAAAGAAGCCAGCTGGGATTCTGATTCTGATTTTACTGAACCTGTAGATCAGTCTGGAAAGTATTGCCATTTTTTATCTATGTTAGTTCTTTGGATCTATGAACATATAATGTCTTTCCATTTATTTATGTTGTCTTTACTTTCTTTGAGAAGCTGAGGGAAGCAGATCTATATGTATGATGTTTGTTATATTGATCTTGTTTATCATTTCTGATTCTCTTCACTTTTCCTGTGGATTCACCTGGTGTCATCTCCTAGTCCAGTATCATTCTGTTCCCACCCAGCTCTTTTGGGCTAACAGTATGTATGTTACATGTCTATACTTAGTATGCCCAACATACAATGACATACATATTGTTTTGTACAATTGCTTTTTAAATCAGCTAAGAGAAGAAATACATATTTACATGTAAACATTAACACTTCCTTTAAAGATTTTATTTGTTCATTTGAGAGAGAGACAGAGAGAGCACAAGCAGGGGGAGGGGCAGAGGAAGAGGCAGAAACAGGCTCCGCAATGAGCTGAGCGCCTGACATGGGGCTCAATCCCAGGACCTGGAGATCAGGACGTGAGCCGAAGGCAGATGCCTAACCATCTGAGCCACCCAGGCACCCCACATTGTCTTCTGTTTCACATAATTACTTTTTTTTTTTTAAGATTTTATTTATTTATTTGACAGAGAGAGATTACAAGTAGACAGAGAGGCAGAGAGAGAGAGAGAGGGAAGCAGGCTCCCTGCTGAGCAGAGAGCCCGATGTGGGACTTGATCCCAGGGCCCTGAGATCACGACCTGAGCCGAAGGCAGTGGCTTAACCCACTGAGCCACCCAGGCGCCCATAATTACTTTTTTTTTTTAAATTACTTTTCAGTGTACTAGAATTCATTGTTTATGCACCACACCCAGTGCTCCGTGCAAATATGTGCCCTCCACAATACCGATCACCAGGCTGGCCCAATTTCCCAACCCTCCCCCCGCCCCTTCAAAACCACATAATTACTTTTATCAGTGCTTTGTTTCTTCATATAGATTCTGATTACTATTTGGAATCATGTACTTTTAGCATGGAGAACTACCTTTAGTTTTTCTTATAAAGCAGCTCTATTAGCAATGAATTTTTTGTTTTTATCCAGGAATGTCTTTATTTTGGCTTTATTTTTTTTTAATATTTTATTTATTTATTTGACAGAGAGAGAGAGAGAGCACAAGCAATGGAGGTGGCAGAGGGAGAAGCAGGCTCCCTGCCAAACAGGCAGCTGGATGTGGGGCTCGATCCCAGGGCCCTGAGATCATGACCTCAGCTGAAGGCAGACACTTAACTGACTGAGCCACCCAGGCATCCCTATTTTGCCTCTATTTTTGAAAGATAGTTTGTTGGATATAGAATTCTTGGCTGACAAACTGCCCCCCCACCCCATCCCTGACACTTTGAATATGCCACACCCCGCCGCCTTCTGCCATTGGCTGTTTCTGGTGAGAAGTCAGCAGTTAATCTCCTGGGGTCGGGGGCTTATAAGTGATGAGTCCTTTTCCCTCTTGCCACTCTCAAGATTGTGTCCTTGTTTTTGGCTGTCAGCATTTTTTAATACAATGTTTCTGGATGTGGATCTCTTGGCTTATCCTACATGAAGTTCATTGAGCTCGTTGGCTAGGTTGATGCGTTTTTCTTGGGGTGGGAGGTTTCTCTGGGAATCACATCTGGGAAGTTTTCCCCTGTTATTTCTTAGTGTATTTTCCCTGCTGCTTCTCTTCTTTCCTTCCCACGTGCCATTCTGCCGACACTGGTGAACTTAATGGTGTTCTACTTTTCTCTGAGGCTCTGTTCCCGGTTCTTCCTGATTTGTTCTGTCTGTTTTTGAGACTGAATAATCTCTCTCCTTCTGTCTTCAGACTGGCTAGCATCCTGCCAGTTCAAATCCACTGCTGGACATCTCCCGGGAATATTCCCATTTCGGTATTACACCTTTCATTTCCATAATTTCCACTTTGTTCTTTTTATAATTTCCATCTCATTATCAACATTCTTTATCTGGTGAGGTGTTGTCATCACAGTTCTCTTTAAGCACAGTTCCCTTTAGTTCTTTGAACCCAGTTGGAGTGGCTACTTTGACATCTTCATCCGTGAAATCTGACATCTGGTCCCTCTTACCAGTCGTTTCTTTCGCCTGCTTTGTTCCTGTGTGTGGGTCACACTTTCCTATGCCTTTGTGTGTCTTGTAATTTTTTGTTGTTGTGGAAAACTGGATATTTTAGACAGTGCTATAGCAACAGTGGGTATTGGTTTCTCACTGGTCCTCTGCGGCTTGTGACTTTGTTTGCTTGTTTATTTGCTTCGTGACCGGCTGGGCCCTTGTAGTGACGTCTCTCTCACCCCCTCCTCGGAGGGCCCAGCTGGGCACCCCGTGCACCCCTTGGAGCACCAGGGGCTTCCCAGGGGCTCTCTCTGCCCTTCCCCTCCCTCAGCTCCTACTCCACCAGTTGTGGGCTGATGGTCCCACTGTTTCTGATGCTGCCTCGGGCTCCACTGCTCCATAGACTGATGTAATTAAATTGGGGCTCCTTCAACAAGGGAGTTTTTGCACTCAGTGTCTGGTGTGTGTTCTGACCCCAGCAGGGCTCTTGCTAGCTGTCTCCTTCCCCAGTTCTCTCTGGGAAGCTGGCTGGCCCATGGGGTACTTTGTTGCACTAATGGTGGTGCCAGCTTCCTCGCATTTGCTTACCACCAAAACCTCCACTGACTTTGAGAGCGCCTTTAAGCTTGAACTTCCCACACATTGTTTCAAAAAAAGTCTTCCCCCCCCCCCCACCCCAGAGAGAGCCTCAGAACTTTCTGTGTCATTGTCTGTTTCTCCATAGGCAGAATCCCTAGGCTGCAGCTCTGGAGCTGAGGGCAGGGACAGTGGTGCCTGTCTCCCTGGGTGACACTGCTACCTTAAGGTGGGGACAGCAGCCTCTGGCCTTCTCTGCTCACCTTTCCCACGGGGGAGCCTCCTTCCTGTGAATGCGCTTGGGCTTGAGTGATCAGGCCTCCGTTTCCCAGCCCCCTGGCCCTGAGGCTGAGCTTTTGCCTCTTGAGCAGGGGCTGATGGCAGAGGGAGCCCCCGGCCTGTCTGCTGCACCTGCCAGGAACGCAACTTCTGCCACCCATAGCGGGAAGTGGAGCTTCATGAAATGAGTTTCAGCCCCACAGCTAGGAGAAAGAAGTCAGGAAAGAAACTTGGCTTCAGACCTTTGTTTGTACTTTTGAATTGGAGATAAGAGATGCTGGGCCTGTGTTAATATTTCCGCCTTACATTTTTGGAAGAAGGTGTAAATTTTCAGGCCAAACAGCTGGTTGTGATGGGGCAAGGACATACAGGCAGGCGGTCTGGCTCTGGAACCTGCCTCAGCTTAAACTCTGCTGGGCTGTGGGAGTCTCTAGGACATGGCCTTGGGCTTTTCAATTTATGCTTCTATGACCTCCAAGGTACAGATGACTGTGTGCTGACACACACGTATTTGTCCTCTACTTCTCCCGCAGGTGCTTGCTGTCCCTGTGGCCTCCATGTTTAAAGCTGAACGTGCGTGCGGAGTGGGCGTGGCTCTTTTTCGAAGCCCCTTTGGGGCCACAGGACCAGGCACTGTTTGAGGGGACACAGTGCTCTGTACTGTGCACTTGGGGTCTCTTGCGCTGGCCATGCCCGTGCCCACGGAGGGCACCCCTCCCCCGCTGAGTGGTACCCCTGTCCCAGTCCCAGCCTACTTCCGCCATGCCGAACCTGGCTTCTCCCTCAAGAGGCCTGGGGGTCTCAGTCGGAGCCTCCCACCCCGACCCCCTGCCAAGGGCAGCATCCCCGTCAGCCGCCTCTTCCCTCCTCGGACCCCGGGCTGGCACCAGCCGCAGCCCCGGAGGGTGTCATTCCGAGGCAAAGCCTCTGAGACCCTGCAGAGCCCCTCGTATGACCCCAGCCGGCCGGAGTCCTTTTTCCAACAGAGTTTCCAGAGGCTTGGCCGCCTGGGCCACGGCTCTTACGGAGAGGTCTTCAAGGTGAGTGGGGGCACAACTCGCTGGGGCTGCTGGGGGACCCCCCCCCACCTCCCTCCCCTGCCTGCTTCTCATGGCTTGACAGGCTCCCATCGTCAGTGCCTGATCTGACTGCTTTCCCCGTCCCCCTGCTCAGGCCCCCCAGGACCCACACTCCCCTTGCCCTGAGCCTGGCACACCGCACAGTGGCTCCCGGCTGCCCTTTCTCCTGCCATGGAGCCGGCCCACTCTGTGCAGTCAGTCCGCCCTTCCCCCATCACCTCAGGCAAGCAGGCACCCAGGCTACACTCTCCATGCCACTTTTTTTTTTTTTTCTTAAAATATATTTCCAATCATTTATATTCCCTTTAAAATGGTCATTCTCCTTACACAAGTACTACACGGGAGACAATTTTGTCGTTAAAAAGTACAAACAACAACGGCCCCAGACCAGTTCTTTGCAGAGGCAGCTACTGTGCTTCTCAGGGGGGGTGTCTTTCCTTCCAGACCTTTCCCTATACATGCCCAGAGTTGATCATTGAGAAACAAACTCGCTTTATATTCCGCACAGCGCTCACCCTGCCCACGCGGTTCTGCAGCCGGCCCTCACAGAACCGCGGGCCACAGAGACCCTCCTGGGTCGAGACTTTGAGCTCTTGGAGTGGGTCATCCAGTTTCGCTATTGCACGTGCACAGGTCTCCCTAAGGTAGCCCTGCTAGAACGTCCACGCATGTGCAGTCATAATAGAACCCGCCCGGCAGGCCTCCTAAGTGCCGGTGCCCCCTCCCATCCCCCCCACGGGCACCACCTCCCTTCCAGGTACGCTCTAAGGAAGACGGCCGGCTTTATGCAATAAAACGCTCCATGTCACCGTTCCGGGGCCCCAAGGACCGGGCCCGCAAGCTGGCCGAGGTCGGCGGCCACGAGAAGGTGGGACAGCACCCACGCTGTGTGCGGCTGGAGCAAGCCTGGGAGGAGGGCGGCATCCTGTACCTGCAGACAGAGCTGTGCGGGCCCAGCCTGCAGCAGCACTCTGAGGCTTGGGGCACTGGCCTGCCCGAGGCCCAGGTCTGGGGCTACCTGCGGGACACCCTGCTTGCCCTGGCTCACCTCCACGGCCAAGGCCTGGTCCACCTTGACGTCAAGCCTGCAAACATCTTCCTGGGGCCCCGGGGCCGTTGCAAGCTGGGTGACTTTGGGCTGCTGGTTGAGCTGGGCACACCTGGAGCTGGAGAGGCCCAGGAGGGAGACCCCCGGTACATGGCTCCCGAGCTGCTGCAGGGCTCCTACGGGACAGCGGCGGACGTGTTCAGGTGAGGGCTGGGACGTGAGAGGCTCTGCGGTGGGCCAGGGGTGGGTGCAGTTAGCAGAGGGAGGGAAACGCTGCCCTAGTCCAAAGTCAGGAAGACTCGGCCTTGGGCTGGACACCCTGCCCTGAAGGGGTGGAGGCCCGCCCTGTAGTCAAGGGGGTTCCGTAGAGTCTAAGCAGCAAACCCTCTGGAGCCACTTCACATGGGTCCACCCCATCCTTGCCACACCCCCCATGGGGGAGACAATGACCACACTTACAAGTAGTGGACACAGTGGGGTTGAGGGACTTGCCCAAAGTCCAGTTAGCACGTGGTGAAGCTGGGACTGGACCAGGCACTGGGTCCCCTCGTCCATGCTGATAACCCTGTTTGGCCTCGAAGAGCCATGTCCAGCCTTATCCACAGAACCATGATGGGAACATTAGTAACCACAGTGCCCGTGCAGTCAGTGAGGGGTGCCAGGAGGACTCACCAGCTGCTGTAGGCTGTGCTCTGCCTGGGATCCATGCTCCACAACATGATCCCATCACTGGCCCTGCTGAGTCCTTCTCAGGGCCCCCCAACTGCCCCCCCAACCATGTCCCTGGCTCACAGCAGAAGACAGCACCCCTTCCCCACCCTCTTGGGTAGCCTGGAGCTCTGGGGTCTGTCATCCCAAGGCCAACCTTGCCCCTCTTCTGTCACTGCCTCCGTCCTTCCCAGTCTGGGTCTCACCATCCTGGAAGTGGCATGCAACATGGAGCTGCCCCATGGTGGGGAGGGCTGGCAGCAGCTTCGCCAGGGCTATCTGCCCCCTGAGTTCACGGCTGGTAAGTAGAAGGCAAGGATGGAGAGGACCGTGCTGCCCCAGGGAGGACAGGCTTGCATGGGAGGGAATGGCCGGCAGTGGGGAACACTGGGCTTAGAGCCCCTCACTCCTGACATGGCCCTGCCCCGTGGACAGGCCTGTCCTCCGAGCTGCGTTCTGTCCTCACCATGATGCTGGAACCTGACCCCAAGCTGCGGGCCACAGCCTCAGCCCTGCTGGCCCTGCCCATGCTCAGGCGGCCTCGGCCCTGGAGCGTTCTGTGGTACGTGGCTGCCGACGCCCTCAGTCGAGGGTGGGCCCTGTGGCAGGTAAGTCGGTTGATGGGGCAGGGTGCCCACCCTGCTCCCTGACCACAGGGTCTGATCTGCCTCCCCCATCCCTGTCCCCGCAGGCCCTGCTCTCCTTGCTGTGCTGGCTCTGGCATGGGCTGGCCCACCCTGCCAGCTGGCTGCAGCCCCCAAGCCCCCCAGCCACCCCACCTGGCTCCCCACCCTGCAGCCTCCTCCTGCACAGCAGCCTCTCCAGCAGCTGGGATGATGACAGCGTAGGGTGGGTGAGAGCTGAGGGTGCTGGGGGTGGGCGACGGGGTGGTCATCATGTCCAGGCCCCAGACCCAAGAGAATTAGTGATGAGCAGGACCCTTCCCACAAACCTAGGCCCCGTCATGCCCTGGGACGGGAACTGAGGCCGGTGGGGTGCAGCCTGGCCGTGAATGCAGTGGTCTCTTCCAAGCTCGGTGTAGGGAATGTGTGGAGCAGATCATACCTGGCAACTTTGGGCTTGGGGCACTGTCCCCCAAGTCCACCCCCACCCCCAGCAGGGGCTGCCAGTGTCCACAGATGAGGCACCGAGGAGCTGGTCCTGGGAAACTCCTGGTGGCCAAGTGAGGGGCTGTAATTAAACTGCTGCAAAAGAGAACCACATGCTTGGGGCACAGGCCTCAGGAGGAATCACCATTAACCCCTTCCTTACGGAAACGTCACTCCCTTGCCACGGGGACACTTCATATTGACAGGAAGTACCCGAAAATCTTCATCTCCACAAGGTCACTACAAAGCCAGCCGTCCTAACCACGTGTTCCAAGACAGAACGGACGTGGCCTTTGAGTGGTCAGGTGGCCTTTCAGAGTTGTGGAAGTGCTTCTGTCAAAGGGCACCGAGTTTCTGCTGTTCCCCACTGGGTCCCCATCCCCACCCATGTCAGGCTGGAGCCTGGCACCTGCATAGGGACAGGGTTGGTCTTGCTGCTCCCAACCAGCTGTGGCCTCCTCCCCGTGCACCCCCCACCCCTCGACACCTTACTTGTCTGGCCCATCCCGTGCAGGCTCTCGCTCTCTCCGGAGGCCGGCCTGGCCAGGGCTGCTGGGAACACCTCCACCCCCCGCAATGGCTCCCCTGCCCCCCGGAACAGGTACTCACTGAGGTGAGCAGGTCCAGAATCCAGGGGGATGGGAGGTAGTGGCTTTCAGACCCTGACTGTCATTTGTCTCTCTTCCCTCCCACCCCAGGGAAGCCCTGGACCTAAGTGACATTGACTCTGAGCCCCCTCGGGGTTCCTTCCCCGCATTTGAACCTCGGAACCTCCTCAGCCTATTTGAGGACTCACTGGGCCCAACCTGAGTCTACAGGCCAGCCTCAGTGCTTTTAACCTTTTAGTCTCCCCCCCCCCCCAGTCCTCCTGGAGGCTGGGGTCCCTCTGGGAGCTCCAGGGTTGCCTCCTGCCTACCCATGTCTAATAAAAGGTATTTGAATCTCGGGAGCACCCACGCTTGTTTGTGTGGCAACACTGTGCTTCCCACCCCTTTATTGATGTTGCCCAGGGTCTGCGGCCCCAGCATGGGCCGAGGCTGGGCCCTCATGCAGGGCCCCAGGCCAGCTGGCTGGAGTCAGGAGCCATGCACTGCATGTAGCCGAGATTTCCTGAGCAGGCACATCCCCACTGTGTAGGTTGGGCCATCAGAGCATTGCACTCAGAGTGGAGAGTGGGCCTCAGCCCAGTGGGCCCCCGAGTCCAGTGCCCCTCAGCTCTCATGTCTCTTTGCTACCTGCCTGGAAAAAGCACCTGCAGCTGCCCTCCTACCCCTTGGTCCTGGGTTAAGAGACTGGTCCTGTTGTCCAAACTCCTCACTCTCTGGACAGAAGGGAGAAGAGGGGAGGTGAGCCTCAGGCTGCAGGGAGGGCTGGCATGCAGAGCAGAAAGACAAAAGTCAGGAAATAGGGTCTGAAGGCTGGGCCAGGCACCCATAAGATAGCTTATGTGTGGGGCAGAGTGGGCTCATGGCTCTGGGCTGGTAGGGTTCCAACTGTCAGAGCCAGACATGACCCCGGAGTCCCTCCAGCCATGCCCTCATAGGTCACAAAGGATAAACTGAGGCCTAGGAAGGAAAGGGTTCCTTCTAGCCTACCCGGACGGTACCCTGAAGGAAGGCAGCAGGGAGAGAAAGCCAGAGCTCCGAGGTATGAGTAGAAGAGGTTAGTCCACAGGGAAAAACGGACGAACAGATGAGGGCTCCCAGCTGGGAAGTCCTGCTTGCTGGAAGCATCCAGGCCATCGGCCCCTCCAAGACCAGCAGCAGGAGTGACACACTATTGGTTCCAGAGGACTGTCGGGAGGCCAGCGTGGCAGGCGGGAGGTGGCTCAGTCTGGGGGACAGGCGTGGTGGGCAGCCCAGAGCAGGTCGGGCACGACGCCGGCGTGCAGCTGGAGGATGGAGCCCACGCTGAGCAGGTGCATGATCTGGTGGGAGTTGCCCCAGTAGTCGAAGCGGCCGGGTCCCCAGCGCTCCGGCAGGCGGGCCACGTTCACCAGCCCCCCCGAGCAGTGCCAGCGCATCCATGCGCAGGTAGCAGGGTAGGGAGCCTGGAGCCCCGGAGCCCAGCCCCATTCCCCGGGCCCCAAACACCAGGAGGCGGGCCGCAGCCTGCCAGCCGAAGGCGCGGAGCCGGGCACTGGTGGAGGGAGCCGTGAGGGCCCGCCAGCCGGCCACACCCGACAGGACGGTGTAGCCCAGCAGAGCGGCTGGGCGAAGCCAGGGCCTACAGGCCAGGGTACAGTGGATGATGGGCAGAGCCCCTGTACCGGAGAGAGAGGCAGGAGAAGGCACATCAGTCTGGGCAACTAACTGCCTGCCGTTTATACCCAGGGTTCACGTGAGTGACCCCTGCCTCCACCACCTCCCCCACTGGCTCCCACCCTTCAAGCCGACCCACTCCATCCCTTGGCTCACCGAGGGTGTTGACGAGGCAGACCCCACACATATCCAGGGCAAGGAGTCGCGTGTATACAGCACTGCCCCCTTGGTGGCACATGAAGAGGTGGTACAGCACGGAGCCTGCGGGGGGTGCCAGGCAGGCCACACAGTGCGTGCCCCCCAGCCAGCCGCCCTCGCCCAGCTGACCCCACGGCATGGTCGCTGGCAGCAGCACCAGGAAGCCTAGCAAGGCCAGCCCTGGGGGAGGGAGACAATGAGCCATCACACGGCTGGAGCGCAGAGGACAAGTCGTGTCCTCAGGGAGTCCACAGTCTAGAGATAACACAAGAGGGATGAGGCAAGACCAGTCTTGGCAGTGCTCTCAGCACAGAGCAGCCGGGCCTCTGACAGGGGCAGCCCTGTGCCTTCAGTAACTTCCATGACAGCAGAGCTCACAATTCTGGAAGTAGAGATGGTTATCAACACTTTCAGTTGAAGACACCGAGTGAGTGCCCCGGGTGAGCCCAGCAGGTAGGCCATGGACACAGTCTTAATGCCCACACTGTTCCCATCCCTCAGCCACATTACCTCCGCAGAAAGTTGGGGGCCCCAATCCCCCAAACTTGGTGTGTCAGCAGAAGCCAGAAGGAGGCATGACCTCATGATGAATTCTGAATAGGATATGTGGGCAATGATACCAGATCCCCTGGTCACTTAGCTTGCTTCTCCCAAAGCCTGTGTGACCAGACACCAGGAGGCTTTGGATCTTTTTGTCTTCCAGAAAGGGGCAAAGTCAGGCAAGGGAGAGGGGCTGAAGAAGCTTGTTCCATCTCCTTTAGGCACTTTTTTTCCTCCTCCTCCATTCCTCTTGGCTCCAACCAGGGCAATTCCTACCCCTTCCCCTGGGTACTGGCATTGCCCTCACAGGGGTCAAAGGTGGGCACAGCCGACTGAGGCTGCACACCAGCCAAGGTCTGGCCGGGCCATAGTACCCCAGTGAGGCAGGTACCAAGGTTGGGCCCAGTCTGCTCAGGCCCCTCTTGTGGCGCCGGGCAGCCCAAGGACGGGCAGGGCTGTGTCAGCAGAGCAGGGCCGCGGAGGAGGGGCTGGGCGCCTGCGGGGGGGAGGAAGGAGCCGCCACCAGGCGGAGCCTCGCGGCCGGGCTGCTCCGGCCCGGGGTGGCAGGGCAGCAGCACGGGGAGGGGCTGAGGCCTGGCTTCTTTTCCTGGGCCCCTCGCAGCCGCTGTCAACACCCGTCTACTGGACGAATGTGGGCGGGGGGAGGGTGCCCCAGACGCAGGGATTATGAAAGGGGGCGGACACCAGACTCCTCCCCGGGGCTCAGAGGGATTAAGCGGACTTGGTCCCCTACTACTGCTTCCCTCGCCTGCCCCGGGGCCCCGCCCGGGGAGCGGAAGGACAGTTCCGTCCGGGACAATGGCAGCTTTGTCACCACGGCTCCTGGCCGTGCCAGGGCCCAGGCAGCCCAGGACCTTAGCAGTGGGGCGCTCACCGGCCTTCCGGCCCCCGGCCAGGCTCGGGCAGGGCTGCCGCGGGTGTGGGATGCGGGGCGCGGCTCACCGTGCGTGTAGATGTTGCCCAGCTCGTTGTGCAGGTAGAAGAGGCTGCGCAGACAGCCGGAGCCGCTGCTGGCCGGCCGGTAGCCCGTCAGCACGAACTTGTTGAACTGCAGGTGCGGTGGCGAGCTGGCCCAGTCCAGCAGGCGCGGCCCGGCCAGGAACGCCATGGCCCGGCCCGGCGCGGGTGGTCCGCGCTCCCTTTGGCCCCCGGCCTCCTCCTTAGTGGTGCCACAGCGCGCGGAGACTCATCCGGATGCCCGCCCGCCGCCCAGGCTCCGTGCGCGCACGCGCCGGCCGGGGGTCCCAGCCCGCGCCCCCTCCCGCGCTGCGCACGCGCGGGCCCGGCGCCCCCACGCCGGGGCCGAGGCCGGGGACGCGCGGGGCGCCGGAGCGCAGTGCGGCCGGCCCTGCCGCGGCAGGCGAGCCGCAGGGACAGCTCGTGGCGGCGGCGGCGGCGGCGGCTGCCGGTCTTCTCTGCTCAGCCGGGAGGACGGGTGCGGCCGGACGCTGGTGGGGACGCCAGACTCCGCCCCAGCTGCTCGCCCCCGCCATCCCGCCAGCGTTTCGCGCGCGGTGCTCGTGACGTAAGCCCTGAGAGGGCCAATGGGCGCGGCTGGTTGGGGAGGCTCCGCCCACGCCCGCCCAGACTTTCCTTTAATTAGCATAATATATGCGGTCCCAGATTCATTTGCATGGGGTAGCTGTGGGCGAGGGATCCGGAGTTCTGGGTCCGGGTGGCTCTGCTGGAGAGGCCCTGGCGCCTGAGTCTACCTTGCGCACCCAGGCTTTCCGCGCGACCCCCCAGATCGAGGCACCCTTGGGCACTCACCCTCTCACTCACCCTCACCCAGCCCCACCCCTCACCCGGGCTCTGTCCAAGGTGCTGCCGGCCCCGGACCTTCGGACCAGTAAGGTCTAGACCCGGCGCGTCCCCACTCCACGGGCGAGCTCTCCACCCTGCCGACTCAGCCAGAGCGCAGCAAGCCGCGCTGAGATGCCCAGGCCTCTACAGGTGTGTCTGACGCGCCCAGCACCCTCGGGTGATGCCCTACCCTTCTGGCCAGGCTCCCTATAGCTTGGGCTCGGTCAAACTCGCTCCCTGTTAGTGCCCACTGCGGACACCTTCAGTTCCACCCAGAAAATACAGGAAACGGGGGGAAGAGAGAGGGCGGGAAGCCAAAGGAGAAAGGTCGGTCCCTGCCGGGGTTCATCCTAAAGTCGGTCCAGGAATGCGTCCCTTCTCCGGCTTAACCCCCACAACCGGCTTCCTCCTCCTCCCGGTCTCCAGGACCCCGCCCACCCATCCTTTCGCCTCCGCGGTTCCTCGGTCTTCAGCATTACAGGCGCCTCCAAATCACTCCTTGCGGGGACCGACCTTAATTTGCATGGGCACACCCAACCCTGGCTCCGATACCCTCATTAACATAACCCCTCCCATCAAGCAGGAACTTGCAGAACTGTACCAAAATAGGTCCTTTATTCAAAGTCTATAGTTGGTCTTTTGACTACTTTTCTTGACCTCTCACACTTCCCTTAGGGCAGCAGTCCAGGACCACCACCAAGAGGCTCTCAAAGCAACCTGAAATCAGACACCCCCATATCAAAGTTCATGAGGAAAGGAAGCTGGGATTCCTCTTGCCCTTTGGCCTCAACCACCTGGACCCCGAGGGTCAGACCAAGTTCTCAATAGCATCAGATGCTTCCTGTCCAATGTCTGGCCTCCACCGGATGACCAGGGATCGAGCTGCCCTTACAGGGGCAGAAGGTCAACGTAGAGTTGGCATGAAGTCCAAGGTGTCCATCCCTCTGGCGGAGGGTCCAGTGGACCCTGGGGTTCCCGAGTCAGAGAGCAGAGATGAGCGAGCGCAGGGAACTCTGGCTGGAGGCGCTCAGGGGCCGGTAACTCGTGGCTAGACCCACAGCCTGAGAGTCGCCGGGAGGGCAGGGCAGGGCCACCCCTCGAGGCCGGCGGTACCACACAGCCCAGCTTCTCCCGGGGCCCCGGGAAGGCCCCAACGCTGGGGGACCTTTTCCCGGAGCCAGCAGACAGCTCCTAGAGAGGGAGCAGACGTCAGCCGAACCCTCAACCAATCTTAACTCCAGCGTCCTGCTTCACCTGCGATCCCACGCGCGATTCCCTGTGTGGACGCAAGGCTTCGGCCCTCAAGAACCCAGGATTTCCTCCCAGCCCCGTTTCCCTTGGAGGCCCCAGCTTCCCAGCAGGGTCCCCCTCCCCGGGGCCACCAAGGCGTCCGCCCTCAGGCCCTGCCCCAGGGGGCGCACCGTCGGCGAAGCAGGCGCAGCAACGACAGGAGCAGCAGCAGCAGCACCGAGATGGCCGTCACCGTCGAGAAGACCCGGGCTGCGGGCGCACCGCGCTGTGAGGACGGGGTCTGGAAAGGGCGGCTCCCCGAACTCCCTCCCGTCTCGCACGCCCGCCTCACCTCCCATCGCGGCCTCCGGAGCCCCGGGCCGGGGACTGCAGCTGACGTTAGCCCAGTCTGGGGGCGCCGCGGGGGTCTGCGCCGAGCCCTTGGGCTCCGGGTCGTCAGCGGCATCCTGCAGCCCTGCGGAGAGAAGTGTGAGGCGGGGCGGCGGGGCGGCGGGCGGGGGCGCGACCAGGCGGGCGCTCACCGCGGTAGGTGAGCGCGAAGCCCTGCGCGTGGCCGCGCGCGTCGCTGCGGAAGGTGAGCAGCAGCGCGGCGGCGCGCAGGCGCAGCGTCCCGGGCGGTGGCGGGCGGGCGCCGTCGAAAGCGCGGAGCAGGCTGCCCGAGGCGGCGTCGCGCAGCTCCAGCCGATCGTGCGGGTCGGCCAGCTCGAAGAGGCGGAAGGTGAGCTCCAGCGCGGCGCCCGGCGGGCTCAGCGCCCAGCTGCAGTTCCGGTCCGGCCCGTACTCGTCCGGGAAGTCCGGGGAGTAGACGACGCCCTGAGGAGCCGTCCAGTTGCCCTGGCAGGAGCCCACGGACACTGTGGGCGGGGCCGGCAGTCAGAATCCCGGGGCCAGGCTCCTTCTCCTCCCCCGCGGGGCCTCGACCCCAGATCTGTCCCCCTGCCACCTGAGCCGGGTCCCACTCCTTCCGTAGACCGTGACTCCCCTCCTCAAGCCCCACCCTCAACCCAGGCCTGGCCTTTGACCCCCGGGTTCGGCCGGGTCCCCACTTCTGCGCGTCTCAGATCCCGCCCCCTATGAGGGCATCGCGCTCCCCGGTCTCACCCAGACTCCGGCGCTCCCCCAGGGCTCTCTTCCCCGCTCACTCCTCACCTTCGTAGATACCCAGACGTCCATCGCCTCCGCACAGCTGGCCCGGGTGGCCGAAGCAAATCTGGTCACAGTCGGTAGCTGGGGCCGGGCGTCCCCGGTCCAGGTCGCTTTCAGAGCCACAGAAGCAGGCATAGCCAGCCTCCACGCCCGCCAGCTGGGAGCACAGACTGGGTGACCCCAGAGGCAGTGGTTGGGGCAGGGGCGGGGTAGTGGGAACCTAGGGTCTGGGTCGCAAGTGGGAATCGGACCGGAGGTTCCAAAATCAGTGTCAGGGTTTGACGTCAGGGTTGGGAGTTGATTTGGTGCTGAGGACAAGTTCAGGGTGCCGTTCTGGGCGGGAGGTAGGAGCAGTACCTGGTAGCCCTTCATGCGGCAGAAGCGAAGGCACACCTGGACCGTGAGCTTCGTTGAGGTGCCGCTGGGGCCACTGAGGGCGGGGGGTGCCCCCGAATCCACGAAGCAACCCAGGTATCCGGGCACTGAGGGGGCAGCGGAGTCAGGCTTTGTCGGGTGCCCCCAGGAGAGAACTCTACTCCGGCAGCCCAGCGTTCCCACCCTTGTCCAACCGGGCCCACTCACTGTGGCACGTGGGGATGTCACAGTAACGCCAGTAGATCCCCTCCTCTGTCTCGGCTACGTAGCACCAGGGCTGCACGTCTCCGTCGGGGTTCCTGCCCGTGGAGGACAAGTGGTCCCGATCCAGCCCCCCCAAAGGCTGCAAGTCCCAGGCCCCACCCCACGGCCTATCCGCAAAATGGCCACCGCGTATGTTAGAATTTGTGTGTTCCTCTTCGTTGTCGCACAAATTCTGGTTTGTCCCACGTGCTTTGGGACTTCCAAAGGGTTGGGTGGGAAGTCCTTAAAGGGGCCCTGAGGGCATATTTTGGGCTTCAGCTGTTGCTAGGACGTGACCTTATACATAAGAACTTTGAGGCCACCAGACGTGTTGTCCCCAACTCTGCCTTGGGCCTCAGCCACTTCCCTCGCCTTGGGACCCTGCTTTAGAGCAAAAGTGCTGAACCCTGAGCTTTGTGGTGTCCTCCTGCGCAGGTCCAGACATCACTTGTGGCTCTGAACACCCAACCCCTCCATAACGAGTAGAGCCCCTCAAATCAGTCGTACGGGGAGGACCCGGCCCCTCCCTCCAGGGCTCCTCCCCCCACCCCCACCTCCGACTGGATCCCGACCGGGGGGCCTCCTTGAATGCCCAGACCCGACCTGAGACTGCAGAGTTTGGGCACCTAAGGCGGGTTCCACGCGCGACAGTGTTCTGAGAGTCCAGCCCCGCCCCCAGGGTGGCTGGGCCTCGTCCCTCGCCGAGGCTCCGCTCCCAGTCCCTCCGGGTGGACTTTGTATCCGCCCAGCAGAGCTCTCCAATTCCGCTACAACTCCCCCGGCGAACGCCGGCTCAGCGGCGCACAGCCCCGCCCCCAGCGCAGGCCCCGCCCTCACCGGCAGAAGTTGTGCGGGCCCAGTCCCCAGCGGCCTTGGGGGTCGCTGGCGCTGCTGTAGCTGTGCTGCTGCGTCTGGTCCCAGAAGAGGCACGGGCGGCCGGCCCCGCGCGGCCCCGTCCGGTTCTGGTGGCCGCGGTAGTCTGCGCCATTCACCTGGAAGCACTCGGACAAGCCTGCACGACGACCGCGGGGACTGGGGGGGTCCGGACCTTCGCCCGCATCTTCACCGCCCCCCCCCCACTCCAACTGCCCAGTCCCCGCCCCCCCCCGTCCCCGGCTGCCCAGACAGCGCCCTCGGCGCCTGCGGGGCCCTGGCGCTGCTCAGCTGCCCCTGCCACCTGCTCTGCTCCCTCCTCAGCCTCTGGACCCGGGTCTTAGGCGTGAAGGTAGAGGACAAAATGGTGACCACGGCTCAGAGTTGGGCCAAAACTCACCTGGGCTGTGCAGGCTCCCCGCGGAGGCCCCGCGTGGAGGCAGCAGCGGGAGGAATAGGAGGAGAAGGAGGAGGCCGCGCGGGGCCCGTGCGTGCATCACCCCCAACCAAAGAGAGGTTGCACTGGCCAATGCACGGTCCATGCCGCCCCCGGGGTCGCTCCGGGGTCTTCCAGGCGACCTGGGGGGGGCGTTGTCCTCTGACCGTCTGTTCTCGTCCCACTCTGGGAGGCGCTCTCCGTCTAGGGCGGTCACTCCCACGGGTTTCCGCCCCTGCAGGTGTCTCTTTGCCCCTGTGTCCCCACTGGGGGTATCT